TGTGACAATAAAGGTGACCCTCTTATACATGATGCTTGTGAGTGACTCTTCTGTGAATGGACACAAAGGAATCATTGAGCTATAGCTGCAACAAACGAGTATCATTATTTATCAATCCATGTGTAGTTGTTTAGTCTGTAGACAACAATTATGCAAAATGCATCACTATCACTAAGAGCTCAATTTGAAGTCTATAAATATTTAGTTAGGTCTCACCAGAGCCGTATATGGCGCTGGGTCTCACTACCAGTCTCGAACCTAAAAAAGGATATATTTGCCATCATTAAAGACATGTATCACCTGCAACCATTGTTTGTGTGGCTTTTTTCTTGAAAATCCCTTAAAGTAGGAATTGATTATCAAAATAGTTATTTTAGATTTTAAATGTAGATGTGATATATAAAAATGTACCTTTGGTTGACAAAATGACTTATTACGATAGCAATACTGCTAATTTGCTCAATAATTACCTGCTAACTGCAGCATTTAAAATGTTGACATTTCATTGGAAATACCCTGATCACTAGACCATTTTAGGGCTAAAGTAAATGCATAAACATTTTTAAATTCTGCTTTTGTGAACTTTGCCTTGCTATTTAACGTGGCTAACCGATTGCTACCGTCTTAGCAGTGCTGAACTGGAGAGTCCAAAATGGAATTAAAGCCATTGTAGCTTGGTAGCTGTTTTGCACCATCAACTTCTAAAACTGCTCTTGTCAAACTTTCAAATCCTTGAAAAATAAATGGTTTTGCAGACAGTTATGAGACAAAAGCCAACGGTTTGAATACATCTTTTAAATAAACTGACTTTTCTTTTACAATACCTAGCAAACAAACATGATAACTGACAGTTACAGTAGCCAGCTTGTTAGCATGCTAAGGTGAGTGATCAGCACAGAGAAAATAGAAGCTTTAAAATAAAGTGTTTTATTTTACCGTAGGTGACTTTCTTAGCATAATTAGACTTCAAATGTATTCAGCCTCAAGATGGTATTCTTCAAGTCACACAAATATATATTTAGTTCTCTTAAAACTCTTATGCGTGCCACTTAAGAAAAGACATGTTTAAACAAGTGTCTATTAATGAATCATTGCTTAGTTGAACTAAAGACAAAGAGTTATTGTCCATCCATCCATCTTCTCCCGCTTATCCGTGGTCGGGTCGCGGAGGTAGCAGTTCCAGCAGAGAGCCCCAAACGTTCCTTTCCCTTGCCACATCAACCAGCTCTGACTGGGGGATCCCAAGGCGCTCCCAGGCCAACGAAGAGATATAATCCCTCCACCTGGTCCTAGGTCTACCCCTCGGTCTCCTCCCAGCTGGACGTGCCTGGAACACCTCCCTAGGGAGGCGCCCAGGTGGCATCCTTACTAGGTGCCCGAACCACCTCAACTGGCTCCATCTCGGCCACTTGTATCCGCGATCTCGTTCTTTCGGTCATGACCCATCCTTCATGACCATAGGTGAGGGTAGAAACGAAAATGGCCCGGTAGACAGAGAGCTTTGCCTTCTGGCTCAGCTCTTTTTTCGTCACAACGGTGCGGTAAAGCGACTGCAGTACCGCTCCCGCTGCTCCGATTCTCCGGCCCATCTCACGCTCCATTGTTCCCTCACTCGAGAACAAGACCCCGAGATACTTGAACTCCTTCACTTGGGGTAAGGACTCATTCCCTACTTGGAGTGGACAGTCCATCGGTTTCCTTGTGAAAAAAAGACTTATTGTGTAAAACATCATATTATAAAGTTAAAATAGGCGGCAGAACAAGAATGCAGCTTTGTCGCCATTAATAAATCATGAAAGTATCATCATTTAATACAGTGCAAACACGTTAAATCATGTTGACTTTGAAGAACTCCGCATGGACAAATAAATGTCACGGATTAGTTCAAACGCCTAAAACCAACCAAATATGTGCTGACAGAGATTTGAGCTGCGGTGTGATGAGGTTGGCCGGAGTTCATTTAGATTAGATGAAAGTTTAATGATTCATCAGGAGTAGCTGAGCATGGCATTAGCAGAGAGGAATTAGAGAAAGATACAAATCAAATGAGTAAGATGTAAGATAATGAGGTAGTCATTAGAAATACGTGAAAAAAACATGTTTTTTGGGTAAAGGGTTGATTTATTTCTTGAAATGGTATCAACTGTGAGTGCAGTTGAAGCACAATTTAAAGGAATAGTTTGACATTTTGGGTATTACACTTATTTGCTTCCACTCATGTCTGGGTGTGAAATCCGGAGCTGAAGGCAGGACATGGTTAGCTTTGGTTAGCTTAGCATTAAGACTTCAAGCAGAGGGTGAAACAGCTAGCCTGGCTCTAACCAAAGTTAATAAAATCCACCTAACTGGAATGCTGTTGAGTGAATGTTTTGTTTTATATGTCCAAAAGTAGCTCAACTATAAGCCTCCTTTTACCTCAAGGTGTATAACCAGGGTGTAGTGCATGTCTGTGTGACAATTATATCTGGGCTAACGGATATGAGAAGCTGTTTCTACAGGAATTTGGCGGGAGAGTTCTCTCCTGACAGACTAATGGCGCATTTCCACTGCAGCGCGTATTACATTACATGTCACTTGTTAGACGCTTTTATCCAAAGCGACTTACATACTCAGTACTGTGGGCAATCCCCACAGGAGATTTGGGGTGAAGTGCCAGGGACACAACGACTCGAACTTGCTATCCCCTGATTCAAAGTTCAGCGCACTAAGTTCAGCCAACCCAGTCTCACGGCATTTCGTGTTATAGTCACGAAATTAATTTAATCTATTGATTACCAACACTATGTTGTTCACCAACACGATTTTCGCATTTTTTTCGTGTCACACAGAACGATTTTAAAAGCAATGTATTTCTATTGGTAGTATGTTTCGTGCCTGCAACACGTCTTTTTGTCCGGTCGCGTCTTGGAATACCAGAAGCTGTGTGGTTCATAAAAACATGTTCTTACTCAATATCTTACCCTAAGCCTAACCCTATCCCTTTTATTTTAAATTGTATAATGTGGGAGTTTTTTTGCCGTCCACGAGGAAAATAAATGGCTCAGAGCCTCAGAATACTGAAATCTGTATTTTATGTCATCTTTTTTTCCTTCTAATTTGTTATTATTTGGTGCAGGCACGAAACATACTACCAATAGAAATACATTGCCTCTAAAATTGTTCTGTGTCAGAATATTGAAATCTGTATTTTTTTAAATCTGTTTTTCCTTCTAATTTGTTATTATTTACATTGCTTTTAAAATAGTTCTGTGTGACACGAAAAAAATGGCGAAATCGTGTTGGTGAACACGAATCAATAGATTAATTTCGTGACTATAACACGAAATGCCGTGAGACTGTGTTGGTTCAGCGCACTATTCCACTGAGCCACAGCCCCCCCCCCCGTAGCACGGTTTAAGCGTGCCGTGCCAAACCCGGCCCGTTTTTTGTTGCGTTTCCACTAGGGGTAGTTCCGGCTAACGGGTACCTTTTCACAGTTTTTCTGGCCCTCCAAAATCGTGGTTCTTTCCGGGCCAACAACCGGGCTGAATATGCTAAACTAGTGACGTGAGTGGCTACAACTGCAACACAATGAACCAATTATCCCGTGATTTAATTGTAATACAAGTTTCAAAAGGATGCCGAAGTAACAACATACTGATACCGGTTAGTAAAAACCATGAATTAATGCTTGACAAGTCTGCAGACAAGACGGCAGGCGAAAAACCTTTTAAAATGCGTGTTTTCTGAATGGAGATCGGCTAAGCTAATGTTGTATATGCTCCGACCGTCCACACTCACAACAACGGCCTATACAGACATAAATAAACCAGCGACTGTATTCGCCATGACACAGACAGTCTGTGGTTTGTACTTGTTTAACTTTTGTCTAGTTTCTGAACAGATATGAGGAGCTGTGAGCTCTGTGTGCTAACAGCTAACGGCTGATGTTTGGTTTTGTGGTTCACATTGAAGATGACGTCACGGCTCCACCTACACTGCGTTACTATAGTTACTGCCCCAGCTACTAATGTGTAATGGAAAAGCAGCATAAAGTGAGCCTGGCCTACCAAGGCCTAACTATACCGTACTAAGCCGTGCGAGGCCCTGCAGTGGAAATGTGCCATAAGTGGCTCAGATAACTACAGTTCAGACTGAGAGGCTCAGATAACTACAGTTCAGACTGAGAGGCTCAGATAACTACAGCTCAGGTGAGCCAAAGGGCTCTCTGAGTGTTTGGATAGTTAATTTTGGTCTGAATTAGCTCAGTGGGTCTCAAACGTTTTGGTCACGATTTATGCAAACAAGTAGGCTATTCCCAAGGCACACCTTTATACAATTATTATAGTTATTTAAAAAAATAAGAGATAAATGAGGAACAGGTTTGAAATAATGAAATTAAATTCTATAGGACAGTAAACAAAAATACAGTTTAAAAGGGGATTGATTTGTAAAATATGCATTAAAAAAAGAAAATATGACCATGTTCAATGATTTGATTATTGAAATGTATACAGTTCTGTTTCATATGGGTGTTGAGAGATGTATCCATAGATCTCGTCTCTTAATTTTGCTCTGAAATTCACCAGATTGATGCATTTAATTACAAAATAAATACAAAAAGATCTTCCCGGGTTTAGTGTTTAAACTCTTTTTTAAACAGCTTATATATGACTAAGATAAGATATAGAATTTTGTTTTACTTGAAGGACTTGTGCAGCATTTACAGTAGGCCTACAAATGAGGAAAGCATTCAAAACCAAAATATACACAATGCCAACAATAAAGGGCTAGAGTGGCAGAGAGAAATATGTTTGCAATGTGAAATATGAGGAACAGGTAAGTGAAAGTTTCATCATTGTGTCTCCGGAATGTAATGAGAGAGTTCTAATAAAGCTATTTGCGGTTTGATAGAAACTGGGCAGTTTTCCAGTTGTTTGAGGCACTCGAGGCACTGGGAAGTAAAAGAGACTCCGCTCCGCCCTGCTGACACTTATTCACTTCCTGCTTCCACTTTGTCCTCCAAACTAAAACAGACTGTAGCTGAGTATGTAACATTGTCTGTGTCTGGAAACAGCAGTTGGCATTTAATTCACACAAATAGAACCGGAAACAGACTGTAAGTACAATTTGATATGTTCTGAATCTGCTCTATCTCACTGAGATCATGTTTAATACTTTTTGAAGAGATGTATGTATGCATTTTGTCCTCTGTTTTATTTTCCACACCAGAACGCATTGTAGCAACTTGTTGAGATTGTAATGTACTATTCGGTATGTCAAAACATGTTCAGACAGAAGGCAGCAATAGAAAAGTCTGCAGATTATGCAGTTTAGAAACTTTCCAAACTGGAAAAGCTACAGAACATGCGACAACGGTAGCACCTATTTTACACACCTGTCGTATGGAGTCTCAAGTGTACCATTTTGCATTCGGCATTGCATTCAAAAACAGTAAATATCAAATTCTTTATATACTAATTTAGAAATGTCCCATTTTAATACTTACTCTCTTCTGAAATATATGAATTATTGTATTTTTAAATGAAAGCGCACAATACATTTTTTTTAAATAATCTTTGGCGTAATCAGCTTATATATTTATAATTATAGTTACCACATTCAACATTTTACAGCTGTTCTGTGTAAAGACTTTTATATAATGTGTAAATGGTTGTCACATATTTTAATTTAAAATGAACATTTCTGTTAAAGCTGAGATGGAAGAACAGACCAATGTATTGCATTTACCCAAAGTAAAAAAAGACATAAGTTTGCAACTTCTTGGTTTTTCCTTATTTATTTGCATTCTTGAATTCAATTGAATGAGTAAAGTATTGTTGTTGGCCAACTAGACTTGAAGGACACAAGTAATTGTTTTTTAATACAAATTGAATAAATACACTTAATATTCAAAGGTTTTATAAACTTTTAGTTTAAAAAATGAATGCTCATTATTTAACTTCAGGAGTTGAAATTATGACGAATATTTTACAAAAGGAATACCAGCAAGTTTTTACTCTAAATGCAACTTTGGTTTTTCATTCACAGGCACACAAGCAGACGCAGACCCCTTTCAATCACAACAAATAACCGTTATTTTATTATCCTTAACAACCTCCGACAACCTCTACACAGAACTTTTATCAAGTCAAATACATACCCCAGCACATTGATTTTTGTGAAAGAAAAAAACACAGAAATGTCCGCTTCAACTGATCCAAAAGGCGAACTCGCATCACGTTTGACGTCTTTCATTCATCTCTACAGTCAACACAGAGATGGCCTTCAGAAAGCCTCAGAGGGCTTAACACTGACAGCTGCTCAGGACCAGCACGAGGACTCTTCTGTGCTCGAAGTCCTCTGTGTGGTAACTGGAGGATTCCTTGGAGCAGGCTTTGGTGGTGTTACTGGTGGAGTTGGGGGAGCGTTTGGGGCAGTTGCTGCTTCAACTTGGGCCAGGATTTTCGACCACATTAATGCAGCGGAAGCAACTGTGGGCTTTGTCGGCAGTGTGTTAGGTGGAGTCTTTGGGGGAGCGTTCAGCGGCGCTATCGGCGGTGCAGTCTGTGCTGGAGGTGAAGCGAGTGGCAGTCCAGTTAAAGGGAAAGTCACAAAGGTAGTGTGGCTCACCATCGGCCTTGCAACTGGTGGTGCGATCGGTGGTATCTTTGGTGGGAGAGTGGGTGCAGAAGGTGGGGCAGTTGGTGGTGCTTTTGGAGTGTTGTGTGCTACGCGCTTGGCAGGGGGTGCAGTTGGAGTTGTCAAATATTTGTGTTCTTTTTCAGAAGAGAAATCAACAAAAGCAGCACAGATGTTGCAGAAAACTGTAGATTTCTGTGAGACTTTCAAACCGTTGGTGACCGAGCTGAATACCATAAAAAACATCAGCGAAGGAATGGCCTCCAGTGCCAGAGCGCAGGGTGTAGCCGAACAATCTGCCAAGACTCTGACTTCTGTGAACCTGATGCTGAAAACCACGAATGACTCTCTGCCCGTCACAGATCTGCCACAGTTTGTTTCCAGTGCTGAAGAATGGGCACAACATGGCAAGAGAATCACAGAGGAACTGGAGCAGATGAATGAGGAAGGGCAAAAAATGTTGGCTTCATTGAGGACATTCTGATGCTGTAAAACAAGAACCTGACAAACCTGGTACACTGCTGTTTTACAAACCCTTCCTAATAACAATAAAAGGAAAATAAAAGTTGTAAATATGTTTCCGCCCAACACGGTAAATTCTATTCACACACCACTCACTGATTGTCTTTAATATTTTGTTATTTTCTTCACATGACGTTTGAACAACTTTATGGAAATCTTCTCCATTTTGTTCCTTTGTACTAATTAAGGGATGTTACATTAATCGGCCTACAGATGTTATTAAAAAAAGTATATTACACGTGTTGCAGATAATGTTTGATTACAGAGATTCAAATGTTTAACTATAATAAAAGTTACTGTTCAAGTTTTCATTAAATGACTTTGTCTAATGTGTCTACAGGAGCCCATAGTGGCCGAACAAAGGCTGACCTCGCGGCAGAAAGAAAGTAATAGAATATTATGCCAAAACCAGTCATATTCTAGTATGTTGAAAATATCAGAAAAAAAGTAATTGTATGTTGGAAAAAAGTCATCCTATAATAAGAGAAACATATCAGACAGTCTTAGTATAGAATGTTTAAAAATCGGAAAAAGCCATATTATATAATAAATCTTTACTATAAATCATATAATTTCAGTAAGTTATAAAAAACAACAGCTACAAATATCTCAAATAAATGATGTCGTAAAAAAGTCACAAGATAGTAACGGTACGTCCACACGGCAGCGTGCGTTGAAGCTTGCCGGTGGGCGTGTCTGCAGCGCGACCAACAACCAATCACATCAATCTCCCGCCCCGGACACACAAGCACGCGGTTTGATTGGCTAGAGTTTGTACTGGCATATGATTTGATTGGCTGACGCTTCCGTCGAAGCTTGAAAAGTTGAACTTTTCTCAACTTTCGAAGCGAGCAACGGAGGCAAAGCGACGGAACCACAATGCAGTTCGGCAAAGCCTGACGTCACCCCATTCAAAGTGACGCAGCGTCCACACGGCGGCGTGCAAAAGCTTGCCGGCGGGCGTGTCTGAAGCTCGACCAACAACCAATCACATGAATCTCCCGCCCCGGACACACAAGCACGCGGTTGATTGGCTAGAACTTGTACTGGCAGGGGCGGATCTAGGGGGGGCCAGGGGGCCACAAAAAAAAAGTTTAGGATTAAACGATTTCTTGGCTGACGGAATAGGCGTAACTAACACCCTTTCTCCCCCCACAATGAATATCGACCAATCACATTCTTGCAACAGTTTAAAAGGGGAGTGATTAGTAAAATATGCATAAATAAAAAGAAAGAATGCTAACTAGGTAACATAAGATAAGAATAAACAAGTTTAAATGATTTGTTATTGGTTGTGATCATATTCTAAAGATGTTTGGATTATTGAAAAGTATACAGCTCCCTTTCATATGAGTGTTGAGAGCTGTATCCATCAATTCATTTTGTGCTCAAAGTGCACCAGAGGATGCATTTCACTTCAACATTTAAAAAAAAATCTTTCCCCCTAGAGGAGGAGAGGTCCACCCCCAAATAAAGCAGGTTAAAATAATTTAATTGAATACATTTTCTTTTAGTAAACACTGAAAACGGGTCCCACAGACCCAAACAGCACACAAAGGTTAAAGGTGAGCATATAATAATGTTAAAATGTGCTAAATATATACACTGCAAAATAAAAGAGGAGTAAAAGTAACTCACGACTTGTTTTATTTTTTGAAAGTAGCTCTCATCCTAAAAAAGGTTGGAGACCCCCTTAGAGCGTAAAAACTGTAACTATAAGTATCTGACATAAATATGTGTACTGAAACAAATACCAATAACTGTATTGCATTGTTTTCTTATGCTCAATGACTTCGTACTGTCTTTGTCTTTTTCGTCCTGCATTTATTATGCCCCCCTCAGAAAAGAACTGGCCCCAGCCTGGCCCCCCCCCAGTCAAATTGGTCTAGAACCGCCACTGTGTACTGGCATATGATTTGATTGGCTGACGCTTCCGTCGAAGCTTCAAAAGTTGAACATTGCTCAACTTTTGAAGCGAGCAAAGCGAAGCGACGCTCCCACAATGCAGTTCGGCAAAGCCTGACGTCACCCCATTCAAAGTGAATGGGAAGCTACGTTGAAGCTTCAACGCACGCCGCCGTGTGGACGGGCCCTGAGCCATATTAATGTCATAGTATAGCATTTCAATCAGGAGAGACGTTGATATATGAAATACATATTTATTACCGGGACACGTAATATGAATGTAATAATGATTGCCAAAATTATAACAGGAGAATGAAATGGTGTTTGGCGATTAGGCCCCAGTTTGCAGGATAATCATTCAGGAGGGGGAAGAACCGCTCTGATGAAACCCCCCGGGGTCTAGACACTGGTGGTGGTGGTGATAAGTAGGTGGGACCGGTCTGAAGGGAGAAGGTTTAGCTTGGTCCTGTAGGAGACGGGAGGCGAAAGGGGTGGAGGAGGGTTGCATATTGTCACCTGAAATGACAGCTGACAAGAGGGAAGAGCAGATTTAAAGGGATTAGCGGGTGCAACGATAGGCTTGTGAGAATGGAGAGAGGAGTGATTGGTTAGCTGGAGAGTGACGCCCCCGATCACTTAATGAGGGAGGAGAGAGTAATGAAGTGACGTGTAATATGAATGAAGAGCTTGGTCTTCCTCATTGAACTTGCGCTGAGCTTTCATGTCATAACAAGGTTCAGTTCAATATGTTATAATAATGTTATTTTATAGTAAAGTAATTCAATAAAATCATAACAATTCATAGTACAGCATGTCAAAAGATCATCAAAATGTCACAGTTTATAAATTCATAAAAATGTAAAAAAATGTAATTGAAGTTTCTTATGCTAAACTAAGATGGAAAACGATACACGTGAGCATTCAGCTAAAAGCACAGCTGTGCACATAAAAGCCTCACAGAGCAGCTAGCATGGATGAAGACATTAAATCTTGTTCAATTTTATTATTAAGTCGTACACTGCACTAAGAAGAGAAAGACACTAAAGCAGTCACAGTAAAAAATGCTTTATTTGTTGAAATGCAGAAGCAAAGTAGAAGTTCATCATTCTTACACTTCAGTATTAAAAATAATTTAAATATATTACAAATCTTTAGCCTAAATCTTTCAGACCTCCTGCAGGACAGAGAGATGGATAGCAGTAATTAAGAATCTATTTAAAATTAAACCAATTAAAAAATCATGTCTGGAGCATTTTTAGGAAACCTATCAAAATGATTTATGAGTGGTCCGTCCGTCAAAGTTGATTTTAAATGCTTTTTGAAGATTCACTTCAAGCTGAGCAGGGTAATGAAGCACTCTCGTTACAAATCAGCTCCTTCTAACACGTAATCGTCCTAACAAGCTCGTATGACATCCAGTGTCATTAGCGTCAAGTGCAGCTAATATTCACCAACTTCAACATTAGATTATTCAAATCACAGATTCTACAGTCATCACTTTATTCAGAAAGATGCCTCTCTGTGTGTGTGTGTGTCTGTGTGTGTGTGTGTGTGTGTGTGTGTGTGTGTGTGTGTGTGTGTGTGTGTGTGTGTGTGTGTGTGTGTGTGTGTGTGTGTGTGTGTGTGTGTGTGTGTGTGTGTGTGTGTGTGTGTGTGAGGGAACAGCTTCACATGCATTATCAGTCACCTCTGCATTCCTCAACATGCATGAGGGAGAAAGATGGTTGCCCCGGTGAGTTTAACATCTGATCCTTTTTGTGCTTTTCTACTTGAAGCTGTCAGTGTGTGCAGTGTTTTTTCAGAGCGAGATGTCTGAGGACACGTGGAGCTGTTGTCCTGGTTTCCACTTGGCGCTGCGTCGGCCGGCGTCTGCCCGTCTGTACGGCTGGTTCCTTAAATCTGAGGGGGGGACCAAACAGAAACTCGGTGTAAGGTAAAAGGAGTGGAGTAAAGAGCACACTATCTACCTCTGAGATGTAGTTGTAGAGTTACAACAGTGCATAACATGTACTCAAGTAGAAATAACATTTGAATGTAAGCGCAGTAAATGACATGAATAACATCTAGAAGAAGTACTCTTATCTTGTACTTAAGTAAACATGGAAATACCAGTTACATGTAAAGGTCCTGTATTGCAATTGTTTCTCCAGTTACAATTCAAAAGTACTAGCATCAAATATACTTAAAGTAGCAAAAGTAAAAGTAGTCCTTCTGCAGATTGGTCCATTTGAGAATAATATATGTGATATGTTTTATAATGATTGATCATGAAAGTGTTCTCAAAGCTGGTAAAGGTGCAGCTAGTTTGAATGACTTTGTATACTGCAGGGTAGCTTGTGAATTTACTCCAGGTGGAACTAAAGTCTGATTTAACACTTGATTATATTTCACATCATTCATCCACATCTGTGAAGTAACTAAAGGTATTAAATACATGTAGTGGAGTACACGATTTACCTCTGAATTGTAGTGGGGTAGAAGTATGAAGCAGTAAAACATCTAAATAGTATAAAATTGTACTTAAGTACAGTACTTGAGTAAATGTACTTAGTTACTTTACACCACTAGTTACATGACACCCAGTGCCAAAGCTTGTGTATCTTTGGTCTTGAATTTATTGGGTTGCCAAGTTTTGTAACAGCAATTACTTTTTGAAAAGACCAGACAAATATTTGTAGTAGTAGAGGCCATGTCTTGTTTTATGATACATTTCCTGAGGTGGTTTTTTGTCCTTCAAAGAAATGTGTAGACTATCAACATCAGGGGTACTAAAATACGTTATATTTATGAATAACCATGTTTCAGTCTCAGCCTTGAATATTGACATTATCAGAGCCAGTGAGCCTTTTCAATAACCCCTAAAAGTGTTTTGCAGATATTGTAGGTACAAATATCTTTAAGAATTAAGTTGTAACATTATGATTTAGCTGTTACAACTAAATAACAAAATGTAGTTGTAGATCTAAGATCACGATTGATAGAGAACCATTGCAATATTATGAAGTAGGGATGGGTTAACCCCAAACCCAATATGGATTCTTGGATTTTAAAGAATAAAGTTGTAACAAGTTGAAGAAAAACCACAATAATGAAGTTGTCGTCGTAGTGCATTTATGATATTTCCCCGTAAAACATACAGATATACATTAAGAGTCTGTGAAAGGTGCAGTGAGAGATAAACAGCTGCTCATTCAGCGTCACAGTAAACAGAGAGGAAGAGAGACAGAGCCGCAGAGCAGCGAGGGATTTAAGAAGTCACCTCGTCGCTGAACACCGAGTCGCAGAAGAGACGGGACGAGCGTTTGGCAGAGCGCGCCGTGAAGGGCACGGACTTTAGAGCTGAAGACCAGAGAAACCACAGGGAGGGAGAGAGGAGGAGAGGCAAGGACAAATACAAGTGAGGTAAGCATAAAGGAAGGAGTGAAGGATTTAGAAAAAAGGGTACTTTTTCCTCCAGAGAACACGGGACATGTTTAGTTATGCAGTAGTGAAGCCAACCAAGGTATTACTTAGAAACAAGTCACTAAGCTATAAGATCCCCTTTGAAGAACGTTTAACATACTGGAAAACATTTCTCTTTTCCAAGAAGATTGATATCATGTCCATTTCATTCAGTGCTGGAAGTCAGTATGTGGTTAGCCTAGCTTAGCATAAACACTGGAAGCAGAGGAACACAGTTAGTGGGCTCTGTGAAGGAGTGAAACGATGCAACCAGGAATTGACTCCCCAAGAAAAGAGTCACTCAGATTTTGGATTATTGCAACCAAACAAGAACTTTAGCAAACAAATGTTTATTATAGTTACACATTTTGTTAAGCATGATCATTTTACCCTAATGAATACATTTATGATTTTGACAGCATAAATGCAATCGCCAGAAGTAAAAAGCCATAATTAAGCTACACCATGGTGGCATGTCCGTACGACACCACCACTACGATTTCAGCTTTTAATTTGTATTATTGCACTGACCCCTTCTATTAAAGAATAACCCCTTGGAATGTGTTAGTTTGAGTTAGAATAGTTGATAACTCAGGTTGTAAAGGTCAACTAGGTAGTCAATAGTTTGGAGTGATGATGTTCAGTAGCCTCATTTAGCCACTATTCAGCAACAGTTTTGTTATAAAGACATGTAGCATAAAAGCCAAAGGACAAGTGCTCTCAGCTACTATTTTAAGTAGATTGGTTTAGTTTTATTTATTTCAGTATCTACAACTCCAAAGCTAAATAATGACAACAAACAAAAATGTAAAAAACGTTTTGAGTTTAATGGAGATACATTTTGTCTTTACATTTCTGTTAGTGTTTAGTTTAAACAACATAGTGTTAATCAATGAGCTTTAGAGGAATTGTATTTCTTCAATCTAATTAAGGCTGACTGTTTTACCTGCCTCCCGTGCTAATGCTAAGCTAGGCTGTGTGTGTGAGTGTGTGTGTGAGTGTGTGTGTGTGTGTGTGTGTGTGTGTGTGTGTGTGTGTGTGTGTGTGTGTGTGTGTGTGTGTGTGTGTGTGTGTGTGTGTGTGTGTGTGTGTGTGTGTGTGTGTGTGTGTGTGTGTGTGTGTGTGTGTGTGTGTGTGTGTGTGTGTGTGTGTGTGTGTGTGTGTGTGTACCTGTGATGATGTCCTCTATGGCCCCGTCCTTCCCCTCCCTCACCAGAGGAGACACCTGCCTCTTCTTCAGCTCTGCTATCAGGTCCATCTGCGGCAGTTTGGACGCCATTGATACCTGAAACATCAAACATGTCCATGTCTGATTCTTTTTCTTTTCTCAAAAGCTGCTGATGAAAACCTAAAGGATAACTATGGTGTTTTACAGTTTAGATGTTATAATCTCCCAAATTACACATTTGACTCATAATACGAACAGCATACAGTCAATGCATACGTTGGGCCGGTTAAGATTCAGCATATTGTGCTCATTTCTACCTACTCAGTTTGCACATGTACAGAACAGTACACACATACGTCTGTTTTAGGGATGGCTGTTTTTTACTGAGCTTTAAATTCCATATTTTCACTCAAACTCTAATAACATGCAGAAGAAAATGAAGCTTACCTCCTTTAATTCTAATGGCATTCAATTGTTTTATTTTGTCCCGTTCCACTTACAGATATTTGTAGTGGATTCATTCGATTAATTTTAATTGTGTTATTTATTTGCGAGGTTTTAACATTTTACTTATTTGGATTTTTAGTATTTTAACTTTTTATCTCAATTTTTACGTAATTCTTTTCTTTGTTTTTTGCAGGAAAAACTGATGTAAAGATGCTATTTACAATATAACTGAGTCAATTAAAGGTTGAATGAAGGAGTTTAAAGTTTCTAGGTTGTAACTCAGGTAAACTGTAACATTTTTATACCAACCTGGTTTTATTTTTAATATTATATAAATGTCCAATCTTCTCAAGTAACTGGGCATGTACCATATTATTTTAAGTGATTGAAATTGTCACAAAAACTGTCAATAAAGATTTCAGGTGCAATATAGAGATATGATCCTTTATACAGTATTCTTGTATGATAACTGGGATGGTTTATGAATATGTAGATGCTTACACTGTATTTTGAGCAGAAACGAAATGTACCTTATTCCCCATGACTTCAGGTTTGGGTGGAGTTGTTGGAGCGTCACAGTTCAGCACATGGTGTTTCTTCCTCTGCTCGTTCTCCTGCTCCGCTTGCTGCCGGGGGAAAATCATTGAAATGGTTGATACTTATCTACGAGTAAAGGTCAAATAGAAAGCGTGACAGTAGCTCACTGATAGAGCTGAGAGTTTACAGTAATAGCTGTTTTATCAGTGGAGCAGCTATCTGCTCTGTCTGCTCATGCATGCTAGGAGTCAATATGATGAGCGTTATCTGACCTTGTATGCTTTGATGAACCTGACAAACACAGGGAAGAACGTGGAGGGCGGCGTGGTTTTAGAGTTCTCTCCAAAGTACTCCACGGCAGAGTCATACACATCCTGAAAGATAGAGGAAACAAATCTCTAGCTTCAATTCAACTCAAATAAAAAGGGTGTGAATCCTAGGCAAATTGTATGGAGGCACTTAGAGGCCAAAATAGACAAAAAAGATTGATATGATTTATTTTCTAGTTCTGAAAACATTGTTTTTTCTCCAGTGTATATCACTTAAGAATACATTAAAAAAGGGTTTTTTATTTATTTAATTTTTTTCCAGGATTCAATTCACTAATTTATATTTTGTTCGGTGTCAATGTCTCAGGAAATAACATTAATGGCAGTCATTTCACATTTTCTAACATAAAATATATCTGTGTTTCACCTGGAAGAAAACATGGATTCTTTTAATCCTAAAATCACATTTTATTCTATTATTATTATCATCATCACAAAAACAAAAGATTGACCCACGAAAAATGACTTAATTGCACCTGTTTTCACAGACATAAATATATATATTCTTAAGTCTTAATAAACTCAGGAGATCAGTCGTAGGAAAATTGATCAACAGAATTATTGTTTGCACGATGGCCTCTCAGGGCTTCTGTACATTATCATCTAGGAGTCAAAGGATGTCCTGCTGAGTGAACTCAGTGCAATAACCTGTGATTTATGTTTATTTTGGGGTAAATAAAACCGACCTGGGCAGTTTTTCCATCACCGATAAGGGATTGGAGCAGCTCAGTGTTGCTGCTGAGGAACGCCTGCAGCACAGGGTTGTCTTTCTCCACAGAGAACTCCCTCCTGGCGGCCTCCGTGCCTCGCTCCAGAGCGCGCACATCCTGCAGGATGCTGTCAAGAGAAACTACCAGAGAAAGGAGAGGGACTTTAGTGTCATTTCAAAGTTCAATTGAACACCCTTATCAGTGCTGATAGTAACGTAATTCCATGATATGGTATTAATGGTAATGTAAGGGTCACACTGTGCCAGGGTGAAGGGAAAGATAACCTGCACAAAGGGAAAACTATGAATAAAACCATCTTCTCACTGCCATAACTCCTCATTAACTTCTGATGTATGACACACACTTATATCTGCACTGGTTGGATTTACTGTCTCAGTGTAATTGGATTTAAAGCCATAGATCCATTCAGTTTCAATATAAACTTTATTTTAATTGCTACAAATCATCATTAGAAGTCTTATATATGTTAGATAGTCTTGAAAAAGCCTGGCAGATGATCAAATTAAACAACTTGACACATTTAGAAACATTATATATTATGATTTATACTACTACCTTTATTTTACTGTGATAAAAAAATGTAGTTTTTTATTATAAAACTAACAGCTATAATTCTTTTTTCCCAACACCATTTGTAGGCTCTTAATAATTTACAGTTTCAAGATATATAGTAATAAGGACTCTACATGAAAGAAAATAAGTCCTTGTCTTGTTTCCAGTTATAATGAAAGGTATTCTGTTGATATGGCCACAAAAAGGAATTATATAAAGATAACAATAATAATTTCTAAGCTTTATTCTAAGATTACATCGATTTATAAAAATAGGATGTTATTAGTTTGACACTTCTCTTGATCACACTACTGCTATTGTTATTTAGTGAACAGATACTTAATTTGTAATTCTTTGAAGCGCTACAAAAAATAATTTAGCATATGTTTCATTTTGTTTTGATTTGATTTATTTTACTCAAATCTGTCACATACAGTATTGCCTTTAAAGTATGCGTCTGGATTGTGAAGCTACAAAGTACCTGTCAACATGACACTCCTACAACGATCTGCCCCTGAACACACCATTCCTACCACAATATATTGTTGCTCTGCCCCTGATGGACTCACCGAGTGCCGCCTTGTCCAGGAAGTGCAGCTCTGTGTAGAAGGACTGGAGCTGCGGGTACTTCTCCTGGATGATGCTGACGATGAAGTGCAACAACGTCTGCTTTCGGTCTGTGGATTTGGTGTCCAACAGCTTGGGGTAGAGGGCAAAAAACAATCATTTTTGTTGTTCAAACCTACCTTACTATACGTATAGAAATTCTCAATACTAGGTGACAAGCTGTTTGTAGTATTATAAGAAAATACAAGAGTATAACAGCCTTTTACTCACCAAATCTAAACTCTGCAGACGGAAGCCGTACGCTGCCTCGCGCTTGCTGCTGTTCATGTAGTTTCCAAACGCTAAGATGATCTAATTGTGGAAACAGAGAAGAAAATGTTGTCAAAAAACTAAAAGTAATGACTAGAAAGATGGTTTGTGTCAGGCACCTTTAAAGAGGCAAACAGTAAGACAGTTAAGTGCTGTTGTTGTGTGAAGTGGTGAAACAACGTTTGTGAGAAAAGAACCAAACCTCCTATATAAACATTATATTTATCATTAATAACTCTCCCCCCAAAACTACAAAACACAAAGGCAGCAAAAAAGTGTTTCCTCTAAAGGTCTAGTGTGTTAGATGTAGGGACATCTAGTGGTGAGGATGCACATTGCAGCCTATGTAATACCCCTCAGCTCACCCCTCCCGCAAGAAGACACAAAGATGAAAGGGCTTCTCTCGAGCCACAGTTTAGTTTGTCTATTCTGGGCTACCGTAAAAGAATGGTGCCACACATATTACGCAATAATAGCTTTGGATATAAGATACATTTCTGCAAGTGAATCCCCATAGATCCTACACCTTTAAATCACCAGGTAAACATTCATAAAACCTAAGATGTCCTTCCGTCTCATCACTCAACAAACAAGTTATTTTCTCCTCATTGAAAACATGAAGTGCTGGTAATGTTAAATGCACACAAAAATAATCAGATACATTATTGTCTTATAATCTTTTATTTCAATATGGACTACCATCTACCACTTTACTGCTCATTACTCGTAATATAGAATTTATATACAAAGTGTTTGGTACTAATTTGATGTAAACTAAGGGTACATATAATAATAACAAAGAAAGGGACTTAGAACTGAATGCAATTATTACGAAACAGTCTTATATCACCGTCATATAGAGTTGTGTTTTCTGCATTCAGTTTCCTGGTGTAAGAGTTATTCGACTTCAAGCCTTTGCAGTTAACATCTATCTGTTAATCTACTCTGCAAATGACCCCAAGGCTCACATCAGCTTTATTTTAAGGTTAAGATCAATTTATGAATCCCTTAGGGGGAATTCAGTCACATAAACAAGTGCCAGGAATATAAAACATTAGTCGTACATCAACAATGAATAAACAAAACGGTTCAGTACTGACCTCAAGGATTTTCTTCAGCTTGCTGGAAGATTTGATCGACATGGAGGCCGCGATGATGGCGTTCAGTTGCTGCCAGAAAGAGTGGAAATTGTTTGTCAGCCAAATAAAACAAAACAAATATTTAAGATGTAACAAATGACGTCTCAAGGCTTCCGTACATAAAGTTTCAGGTGCCATGTTTAATTTACATTAAGTCTTGGTTGTTTTTAATTAATATGAAAATATGAAATCCTTTGCCAAAAAACACCTTTTATTTTAAGTTGTATTTTAGTTTTTGTAGTTTACTTTAATTTAGTTCACCAAAATGATAGTAAATTGAATTATTATATAAAAACGATTGTTTTTGTATTCTCTAGTTGCTGTGTATTTGTGAAACTTGTTAGTTAATATTTCCATTGTAAACTATAGTGTATTGTTTTATATGTATCTATGTTTTCTGCATGCATTTCCTTGTTTTATTATTTCTGCTTGATTTAAAAAAAAGAAATGTGTGTGTGACAACCTAGAAGACAAGCAAGATATTTTCAGTATGGAGGAAAATGGGTATGCAAAAATAATGATGGAAGAGAAATGAGACCTAGCCCTAGTAATGGGAACTATAAATTGTCTGGTAAAACTGTTTTATCACGCCATTATTTGCTGGTTGAGATATACATTTCTTCTGTGTTGTATCTGAAAGACTGGATGCCTCCTACCTTATAATCTGAATGACGGGTGAGGTCAGTGAACATCCCTCTGGCTTACTCACCGGCTGAATCAGCTGCACGCTCTCGGGGAAGTTTCCCATGAAGGTGAGAGTGCTGATGCGCTGGGAGAGCCGCGGGATCTTGCTGAAGCGCACCATGAAGCGGTCCTCCTCGCTGAGCTCGTCCAGGGGCCTGCCCTCACACTCGTAGTTGTGGATGAGCTTCATTTCGTACTCTGTGGGGATGAAACGCTCCAGGAGCTCCAGGAAGTCCAGGCTCAGAGCTCTCTGGTTGTACCTGTGGGGAGGCATGGTGTAATGAAACCATTTCAGAGTCCAATATTATCCAGTACAATAGAGGATGTCTCATACCCTGATTATTTAGAGGTATAATAGTGTACCAAAATTATCCCACATTTTTCAACACTTTTTAAACCTTTTAGACCTTCACCCCAAACAATCAGAAAACCATCAGATAAACAAACTTAGCCAAGGTTTCGGAAAAACAATAAAAAAAGCTAAGCTAACATTAGCGGCCCCTGCAACATCCATACCAATGCCTTTTGACGTCAACCTGCTTATTTGATGTTTTTACCAAAAGTCAAGGATAATGATACCGCTACATACGTCTCGATTGCACAGCAGATATCGGAGGCAGCCATCCCTTCCTTGCGCAGGGTGATGGCCAGGTTCTTGGCCCTGTTGGGCTCCATTAGAGAAACCTTACTGGGGGTCTTGTGGGACAGCTTCATCTTGATGGTCCCCATCTCCAGAGGGCTGGACTGGGCCTTCGTCTTGAACTGCTCCTCAAAACACGCCATGTTCAGCTCCTGGGAAAGATAATGTTGGAAAAATATCAAACAAATACTTTTTCTTAGATTTTCTTTTATATTTTGCTGTTTTTAGGCGGGAAAAGAGCCAATTGTTTGTTTCAACATGCTTTATTTAGTTAATAATTATCTAGTATTTGGTAGCAGCTCTACCAATCGAGCTATGTGGTGGCCCCCAAAAATATACTCTTAATACAAATAAAACTAATATATAAACATTTAAAGAATGACCTGATGTATACTCAATGAAGAATGTACAGTATGTACAGTATGTTGTGTATACATGGCGAAGTCTGACCTCTAAGACGTGCTCGTCGTCCAGCTCGTTGAAGATGGTTCCTGCCACCTGGCTGGATTTCAGGGCCTGCCAGTTCAGCAGAGGCATGCGGTATTTGGTTTCAATCGGCTTCTTCTTTTTACAACCTAGAACAAAGAATAACAAATACAATAAAAATCATATTTAGAGGTCTCCAGTTATGGAATCAGTGATACAGCTAGGATTAAAGAAACATCTGATTTCATCTTGAACCTTAAAGCAAGATGCTTCTGGTGGTTGTACATATCTACTTATTCTACATTCACTTTGTCCTCTTCCCTGCTTTCCTACACTTCACGCTTGCTTGTGTGTTTTGAATAAACAGATATTCCTTTTAATCTACGTTGTTTAGTTTAAATTAGTAATCATTTCATTTTGATTTGTTTACAAGGGGAGGATTGTGAATAAGCGTGTCAGGCTTCCTTCCTCTCCTAAACTGTACCCCCCCCCCCCCCCTATTGTATGCATGTTGTTTATGGAATAAGCTGTATGCAAAGAATATATTTTGGAATTGACTTTTCCCTATTCTTTTTCTTTCTAAAATATATTTTTTAATAATTGTAACCTCTTCCGGCAGCTAAATCGTATTTAAATCAAACTAAAGCGTTTGGGAATCACTCTTCAGGATGGATAATGTTCTTTTATTTGGGAGAAAGAAATAAACCTACAGCTGTTTTCACTCGTGGTCAGAAATTAGGTCACATTTAAATAAATAAGTATGTCTATAATCATTTGCTCTGAAGTATTCATGCTCAGTCTTCTTTAAGAACCCCTCTCCTTCATTGTGGACTTACCTGAGCTCCCATCAGTCAGAGACAGCTGGGTCGTACCACCTCCAGGAGGCAGCAGGGGGGGTGAGGGTGCTGATGGTGGAGGAGGAGGAGGAGGAGGAGGAGGTGGAGGAGGAGGAGGTGGAGGAGGAGTTCCAGTTAAGCCTGGAGGTGGAGGTGGAGGAGGTGGAGGAGCAGGAACTGCAGCCTGCAGAGCATCCTCAGAGGGGGGAGGCTGAGGGTCTGAGGAGGGGGGGGAGGCTGAGGGGTCTTCACCTGAGTCTGCTTCTTCTTTAGCTGTCAGGGGATCAAAGTGGAGTCTTAATACCTCAACATAACGCTCCCAGGGTCTTTCTTTCCCAATAACTTTATTTTTCTTTAAGCGTCCTTTAAAGAAAAACCTTATAAATTAAGAGAAAAACAGAGACACTTTTTTTCTTCATATATGATGAATTGTGTGCATCTAAAGTCACACTAGCTCGACAACTCATTGTACTTTGTTCCTTTGAAATACTTTGTACTGTTGATTCGTGCTGATTGACACTGATGTCCAGGGAGCTGAACTCCTGGGGGCTTTCCACTCAAGTTGAGTTTCAACATCTCTGCCTTTAATGCCAACCCCCCAGGGGAAGAGTCATTTGATGTCCAATCACGTCTTTGCATTGACTTTATATGCAATCGCCTACATTAGAGAAGACGCCACCTGGGCATGAATTACATTTGTGGCCAATCTGTTGTGATGGCTGAAAAGCTAGACACCAGATGAGTATATACTGTAGGGCCCTTTCATCACAGCTTTTCATTCATTTCACATCTTCATCTTATACTAATCGATCATTGTCACAAACTGTTGTCGAAGCAGCAAGATGAAGGTGATTAACACCAACAAATATTTTGAATGCATTATCAAAAACGTGAATAACTTGTGGGCCTTGATCAAGGCAAACTCAGTTGATGACATTAGTGACGGTCTTATTTTAGGATAAATCTGGTCTGCAAATAGGTCATTTTTTTCTCCAACAATTTGTCCACATTTTCCAAAGCATGAAATCAGATCATCAAAATGAACAGCGGCAACAAAATGTGTTTTCCTAACCCTAAAATAAAACTTGATGAAGGACAGACAGTTTTAAAAGAAGTGACTTGATCTTTATGTTCTTGTCTCATCTGCAAGGAGAAAAACACAAACTTAAATATGATTCATCTTAAAATATTTGAGTAGTATTGTTTGATAGAACAAGCTGCCCAGGGGCCCTGAGGAAATGATAGTAGAAGGGTCCGCAGTAGATATTTCTGATTCACAATGTCAGCCTGCAGCTCTGACCTTTCTGAATCACGTGCTGGATGATGGGGACCACCTGGACGTCCAGCTGTCCAGAGGAGGACCGCTTCATTTGGACCCGCCCCTGCTCCACCAGAGCCTGAACTTTGACCTCCAGCTCCCTCAGGGCCTGGGTGGAGAGATCCTTGTCTCGCTCTATCTCTCTTTCCCTCTCACGTTCTATGTCTCTCTCTCGCTCTCGCTGCTGCAGGACGATCACCTGGGAGCAGGACTCACGCAGACCCTCCTACAGAACACAGTGCAATACACACTATGTATAAGGAAACTGTGTACAGTATAAGAACGATAAACTCACAAGGGGCCTAGAGTATCAAATACTAGCAATAACCATCACCAGCATTATATATTGCTAATCAAAATATCTGATGTGTTATGGCGAGTGAATAAAATAAAAACTACTACTGCATATATTATAACTCGGGCTTTGTCGTTGTACATCTGGATATTAATATTGTAATATATTGTTTTGCCTAGTGCTTTACTACTGAACTGCAGATGAATAGTTTGGGCCCTGGTAAATTTAAAGAAAAATGTTCTTTAACAACAAACTCTAGCATTTCAAAAGAATATTAACTTTAAGTATAAAACATAGATTAAATGGAAGTACAGGTTTGTTGTCTACAGGTATTTCTTTAAAAGTATGCATTGGCCGCACCAACCCTCGTAAATGAGATAATCAAGCAAAATATGGGGCAAAATAGTTATGAATAAAACTAAATACATTTACTCTAGTACTGCACTTAATTATAACTTTATGGTATTTTCATTTCATGCTATTTATACATTTACTTCACGTCATTTTAGGGCAAATACATTTTATCTAAATGCTCCAAGAGTGAAATGATGACCCCATTGCACATGTATTTTGATTACATACATTTTACTTGTAACAGAACATGTTTGTACTACTAATACTTTTACTTAAGTAATAGATCTTAGTACTTCTTTCACTACTGATCATCAACAACTATGCAAGTATGCAAGGTCAAAACTGACCCATAAAGTCAGGCAGAACAGATTCTTTGGGTGCTTTTTCTGAAAGCTTGCTTTCTCCTCCAAGTATGTTGGCCAAACTAGTTTTGCTTTGTCTAAATATTTAAGCTATTTTTATGAATCAATGTTCCAAGACTTTGCAATTACTTCGCTGCAAAGAATATCATGAAAATAATACACAAGTTATACTTTATTTAAGAAAAACATATAAAGAATAGAATGGTGTACTGTACCTTTAAGAGCTCCACTTCTTTCGTGGTCTGAATGAGCTTCTTCTCCATTTCTGACATTTTCTCCATCGCCTCCCTCTCACTCTCCTCAAGCCTGGAGCTCAACTGTGAATATTTATATATGTATTATTCATTTATACATTATGATTACCTTCCTACATGCTGTGTACATCTGCATATGTGTGAGTGATGTGTGTGTGTGTGTGTGTGTGTGTGTGTGTGTGTGTGCGTGTGCGTGTGCGTGTGTGTGTGTGTGTATGTGTGTGTGTGTGTGCATGTGTGTGTGCGTGTGAGTGTGTGCGTGAGTGTGTGCGTGTGCGCGTGTGTGTGTGTGCGTGCGTGTGTGTGCGTGTGTGTGTGTGTGTGTGTATGTGTGTGTGTGTGTGTGTGTGTGTGTGTGTGTGTGTGTGTGTGTGTGTGTGTGTGTGTGTGTGTGTGTGTGTGTGTGTGTGTATGTATGTGTGTGTGTGTGTGTGTGTTGTGTGTGTGTGTGTGTGTGTGTGTGTGTGTGTGTGTGTGTGTGTGTGTGTGTGTGTGTGTGTGTGTGTGTCTCCACCTGTGTGTTGTGCTCCTGCAGCTCCTCCATGTGCTCCAGCAGAGCGTTCTTGGTCTCTGCGTCCTCCAGCAGCGCCCCCACATCAAACACATTGTCCAGATAGGCCTGGATCTGCACCAGCAGCCGGTCGCTCTCCGTGAACTTCAACTTCTGCTCAAACAGGACATTTAAAAAAGATTAAAACATTTGCCATGTTGTAACTGATTAACAAATGACAAAGGGACTACATCAATGTTATCCAATAGATTCTTCTGAGTCTTAATAAATACAACTATTAAATGGACAAACATCACACTTGCCTCCAGGTATTCATCCAGCCCGTGGCGGGTGAACTCGTACTGCAGGTGGACCCTGAAGTTCATGTTCTCCACTGAGTGCACCACGATGTTGATGAACTGCATACAGGCCACCTGGTGGGCAGACAGAGGAAATACTTTTTAACTACAGGTGCCAATGTTATGGTTGATAATGATTACAGATGAGGGTAAGTATGTACAGCTAAATGACAGGCAGTAGGTAGACATTTATCAGACTTTACACAAATATTAAAATCGTTATGAAGTTACAATTTGTATTACAGATTGAATTATCTATTTTCAGTTTGTATCAGTTTAGTTTATTTCAGAGCCAGGTAAACTGTATTTACAGAATGCATGGTTAAGCCACAAAATCGAAATGCATTTTCTTAAATGTTATTTTTTCCTCTTTTTTTTTAACCAGGCAATACCGATTCAGTTTGTTTTACTGAAAATATATTTTATACAATTTTTATTTTAACTTTTTTTTTTAACTACTTACTGCTATGAGAGGTGGTTCCACTATACAATAAGCTGGTGATTAGCATCAGTTTTTCTACTATCACATGACCAGCATTAGTATCAAGTTATATCCTCTCTGTTTGTATATGTGAGACTTCACGTTGATCACATGCCGTGTTATTGGATGATTGTTTGTATCATTGGTTCTGTTTGCTTCCAGCTTTACCATGAAGTCGATGTTGCTGTCCTCATGGCAGAAATACTCCATGAGCTTCTCAAAGCGACTCTTCTCTCCACACACCTGAAACACAGTGAGAGGAGTGAGAATTAGAATCAGCTCACAGCGGGCAGAGTGAAACAGAGGATGATTCATTATGTGTTGACTGAGTTTTGAGGTAAATCTGGATGAAGTCCTGTGAGACATGCTCCGGATGAGATACCAACAACTTGTATTATGCCTTCTCCGTATGTACACACATGGGGGCAGTGTGCTCACAAAAATCAATCAATCTATCAATCTATCTATCTATCTATCTATCTATCTATCTATCTATCTATCTATCTATCTATCTATCTATCTATCTATCTATCTATCTATCTATTTATCTGAACATTTTTTAATCTCTAGATGTACGTCTGCCATTCCATTCCGGTGTCTGTTGAATGCCAACACAGATAAATGTTGTCAGTAGTTTATAGAATAAAATAAAAAAACATTTATTTTACTCAAACACGTAACTTTAAATAGTAAAACCGGAGAAAATGATAATGGTGCAGTGGTCTCTTTCCAGAGCTGTATTCATATATGTATATAATATATATATTTATCCATCTGAATTGTCTGTATTTCAGAAAACTATTTAAATACACTGACAAAAAGATCATGTTGCCTTATTTTAAATTAAAATCTGCTTTTGTGTCTGTAGGTTAAGATAAGGCCCAGTTAATGGACAAACTGACAAACTGACAAACTGACAAACTGACATAATGGCAATAATAAAAAATAAAAAAACATGAAGATAACAATAAAAAATGTATTAAAATAAAAAGTGTTGCCTTTAGATTGTTGCAGGATTGTTGCTACAGTATGCTACATTGATTGTTCTTCATTCTGCAGTAGAACCATCACATAAACAAGGCTTTAGTATGTGCTTGAGAACAATGTGGTTAAATGATTTGTTACCAAACTGTGCTTCCTTAACTCACAGCTCAGCAGATTCCCTGCCGCCTGCTTCCGTTAGTAGTCTCTGTGTTTGCGATCTTTTACTCTGCCTCCCCCTTTTGCCCACTCATGTCTGCTAAATAATGCAGCATGCCAACCTGACAGCCTGCACAACCCAAAACAATGCTGCCCACGTTCTGCTGCTGAGGGGACACATGAGCCAGCTCCTGGCTGCGTGCCCCCCCCCCCGCCTCCAATTTATCGCTGCTCCATCTCTGGCTCTCGCCCACACACACGAAGCGGTGCTGCGGCACCAAAACAAGCCACTCTGTGATACTCTAGTCTCTGTGGGGTAACTGATGCTGCACTGATCAAGGGGGGGGGTTGTCACCTATTCTGTTTTCTGTATTAAAGGATGAGTCTGGTAATATTCTACATTTCTCCCACTCTTAATAAATTGAATGAAAACAATAAATCAGTTGATCCGTACAAGTAGTGTGTATGTGTATCAAAGCCTGATATATATTTGTCTTCAGTGCCAAAGTGCTGCATTGATGTTAACAACTATTTAAAAGACATAATTAAGTCATACTGTTGCGTCTTCATTACTGTGAACACTTTTGTTTATTCTGACTAAATCTCACATACACTGTCCTGCTGCCAAAGATACTCATAAGAGTACCAAACGTGGATTAATCCGCCATTTAAAGTAGTCCCCAACCAATGCACTACTTCCACCTGTTGTTAGACACAAACTAGTGACCAGCTCTGTTATGTAATTACACACTAAAGAAATAATTACATAATGATAGATTTCTTTTTAAAGTCGGAACAGATCATATGTATCACTAATGCGTCAGACACTTGTTTGTTTTCTTTTCTGTCCCTTCTGCTTCTGTCTGTGGCTGTTTCCAAATGAAGTCTGGTTAGAATGTTTGAAATGTAACATTTCCGGATAAAAAATGATGACCTACTGTATGTTGTATATTTTGTTAAGTAATGTATTATATTAGCCCAAACGTTTCCGTAAAATATTGAAATCTGTTTTAAAATGAAAGTAGTGGTTTGTTTCAATAGCCATAAACTGACCTTTTATCCAATTAAAGCAACTTTGCAAAGATATCCTTTAGATATTGGTCATTTAAACTAAGCTGGATAAAGGATTCAAATCATCAGATACCGAGGTCTTCAAAGAAAAAAGTTGGGCTAACGTTAGCGGTTAGCTAGCAGCCCCATACATCCTGCGTCTGCTTGAGAAACATGCTGATTATTAAGATGTAGCTACTTTATTCTGTGTTTTTATATTCAGCTTGTATGTTTGTTTTGGAGATAAAGAGACGACTGCAGATGGTAAAAACCTTCTGAACGATGAATACTGAGGGAATCCTTACTGACTGAGAAACTGACTGCAATGAGGCCAAAGGTGTAGTAGTGTAGTGTAGTGTAAGTGATGCTTCTGTGTCAGGTTACAGCCGCTCTCAGGGTGACAAACAAGGAAATAACCTCATCGGAGTAGAGGCAAAACTCATTTGATTCAGCAATAGAAATGTAATTTGTTTTGGTGTCTGTTTGATATACTCCCCCTGGGTAAATCCACAATTTGAAAACAATCTGACAGATACTTCCACGCACTTAAATTCAAATAAAAAAGAGTAAAACACCACTGGAACAGCTATCCAATCTAATTAAACTGCTTTTTCTGAAATTAAAAAAGGCAGTTGATGCTGACAGCTGTGGGCTATTATAAGAAAGGATAAAAGTGAACTCTAAAAACTTGAAGCTAAAACTTAAAAAGAAAAAAGTTATCAGTTTCCAAGCATTTCTTAGGAGTTGGGTGAACTTTAGCATATTTTGAGTTGGTTAAACTTGTCTGTATGTGAACTGAATTGTAATATCTGAATCCAAAAGCCACTAGACGTTACATTCCTTCTGTAGAGCGTGTCGCAGGGCAGATTTCTAACTTCCTTGACGTTTGCTAATAATAGCCGCTCCTCGTTCAGGTTTATGCTGCTTTCTGCCTGCGTTGTTGTAGCTGCAGGAGGCGATCTGTTGGCAACAGTTGCTGCTTTCTCAGGCAAAGATGAGAGAGGGCCAAGGAGAGGTCAGAGTTAACCCAACAAGTGTTTCACATACCTCTACATGCAGTGAGTTTGCTCTGGCGCTGGGACAACTGGGCAGAGCAGCTGAGGGGGGGGCAGGTGGCTCTGGGGTTCCCCTTAACCTGCGTTTCCGTGCATTAAAGGGCTACTGGTATGTGGGCGCTGTAACACTAATACCCCGACTATGTTAAGCATATGAGCGGTTTAAAATAAAGTCTCAATGTAGGCTGAGTCATCCCTGCTGATGCTGGTTATATAGGTCGGCATGGATATTTAAAAGAAAAATAAAGTGGTGAAAGTGAACTTTAGGAATGAGTGTGTCTAATCAAGTGAGTGCATTTTTGCAACAGAGCCTGGTTTACTGTATAAGATGTAAAACTATTAAAACATACCAAAATTGTACTTCTGAGATTGGACTAACTGATTATTTCCTTGTTAGAGATTGGTATCAAATGCTCAGAAAAAACCTTAATATGTTCTAGTTTCTAGTGGTGGAATGTTGCAAAGTACATTTTTCAAGTACTGTACTTGAATAAAGACTCAAGGTACTTTTACTTTACTTACATAGTATGTTACTTTACATTTCTTCTGCACTTTATTTGTCTCACAGCTTTAGTTACTTGTATCTCTGTGTAATGATAAAACCGTGACAGCGAATATTTTGCTGCACAATGACTACTTTTACTTGTCATACTAAGTACATTTAGCTGAAAACAACTTTACTTAAGTAAGGTTGTGTTACAAAAGTACTATTACTGTTCTATTTTAATAACTATTATACTACTATTTTACTTTTACTGAATTGAGTATTCCTTTCACCAGTGCTACTGACTGTAATGTGAATGTAGCACAAAGAACAACAGATTTGTAACCTTTTTGAACGTCCTTTTTTATCTCCATAGTTTATTTTTTTAAGTCTATACCTGATGGTTGTTTGTCATAAGAGCTCTCACTTATAAATCAGTTTATTAGGTGATCAATGCAGCATCATTTTCCCCATCAAGTCTCTAAATGTGGGCTGAAAGTTAAACAATGGAAGCAGTGAGAGGGAACCAAAACAGTTCAGTGGTTTGTGACTAGTTAGATTAGCAGTACTTAAATAGATCAACATTTTATACAACGGGTGTAAACAACAAATCTGTGATCACTATGATAATTTAAATCAACATTGCTGAAAGTCATTTAGACAACGTTTTATTGCTGTACCTCTTTGAAGTTGTCGAAGGCGGAGAGGATGATGTCATGGCCTCCTCGCACCAAACACACAGCAGCCAGCAGCTCCAGCACCAGAGCCTTGGTCCTGAGGAGCAACATTTACAGTATATGAAAAGGAAATGTGTTGTTTTTATTTATCTATGAGATTAATAATGAGGGATTTTCAGTCTCAGTCTCAGTCAACCCTTCTCAGCTCACTCTGATGTAATGTTGATAGAGTTACATCGAAGTAAGTCATGATATTAAGTTAGCTCTCAGAAAACACACACATTCAAGTATATAAAGTTTCCGTACCGTGGGTTCCTGTTGTTGAGGCTGAGCGTGATCTCGTTGACACAGCAGGGATGCTTCATCACCAGGTTGAACCCAGACTGAAAAATGTAATCATGATTATGGTGCGGTTCTTAAAAATGGCTTCATTTGAACTAATGACATCATTTGATTTGGTCTGGGCAAAGGCTAGGAAATCAGGCTCAGAGGTAGAGTGGCTGCGTTTTAGGCAGCTAAGGAATAGCTTCACTTCACATGTCAAAAGTGCTAAGTCGAAGTACTATTTGTCAGTTACCACAGAAATCCTAGGACATTTTGGAAAGCCATAAAATCGCTATCCACCGGTGAGATCCGAAATGAGCTACCTCCGTGCCTTACCACAGCATCTGGCTCTATATCGGACAGGGCCACCATGTTCAATTGCTTTAATAAGCATTTTGTGTCCTGTGGCTCTCTGTTTGATTCTGTCACTAACTCTGCTTCTGTGAACACCACAGTCTGTGACTCTGAACAATGTGGTCTGGAAAACCCTTTCAGTTTTACTCCTTTTACTGTTAATGTTGTTCATGAAGCATTATCTAAGTTAGATCCTAAGAAACCGGCCGGCCCGGACAACGTAGAACCTTTCTTTTTAAAGATAGCTGCAGATTTTATTGCTCCACCTCTCACTTCTCTTTTTAACCTCTCCCTCAGCACAAACACAATTCCAAAAGTATGGAAGTCAGCGTATGTCCTGCCTTTGCTGAAAGGAGGGGAGGCAACTATTTTAAATAACTATAGGCCAATCTCTAAATTGTCAGTTCTGGCTAAGGTTCTTGAACGCCTAGTGAGTGAACAAGTAAAGGAGTTTCTATGTAAAAATGATATCCTGTCTAAACATCAGTCAGACTTCAGAAAGCAACATAGCACCATCACTGCCACAATGAAAGTGGTGAATGATATGGCGAGTATTTGAGATAATAAGCAGAGCTGTGCAGCTCTATTTATTGACCTTTCCAAAGCCTTTGATACCGTCGATCATCGCATCTTAAAGCAGAGGCTACTCAGTATTGGCATATCCAGCCATGCAGTGGGGTGGTTTGTGAACTACCTCTCTGAAAGGTCCCAATGTGTTCACTTTGATGGGCTCACTTCTGAGTGGTTAAACATTACTAATGGTGTACCACAAGGTTCTGTTTTAGGTCCACTTTTATTCTCCATCTACATCAATAGTTTAGGTGAAAATGTGGATGAAGCTACTTTACATTTTTATGCGGATGATACCGTGATGTACTGTGCAAGTCCCTCCATTAAGGAGGCGGTTGTTAAATTACAGGCTGTTTTTAACATTATTCAGACTCAGCTCTCTGAACTAAAGCTTCTTTTAAATGTTGATAAAACCAAGGTAATGCTCTTTTCAAAAGCTAAAAAGAAATACGCAAGAAATAAAACTTGAAGTTTGTCTCACTAAAAGTGAGACAAACTTCAAGTTTTATTTCTCGACTTCATGTCAATAACCTGCTTAAAAAACTGAGGGTTAGGCTAGGTTTCTTTTACAGGAACAAGTCCTGTTTCTCACTTGAGGCCAGGAAAAGGCTTTGTGACCTTTTTACCTGTGCTGGACTATGGTGATTTGATTTATATGAATGCACCTGCCAATTGCCTGGTCAAGTTAGATGCTGCGTATCACAGTGCACTGAGATTTGTTACTAACTGTAAAGTATTAACCCATCACTGTACCCTGTATGCAAGGGCTGGTTTGCCTTCGCTAACTGTACGGAGGCTCAGTCACTGGTACATTTTTATATATAAAGCCATGTTAGGGAAACTTCCATCCTACATCTGTTCCCTGATCTCACGGCGAATTGTAAGTGGCTACTGCCTGAGATCGCATGCTGTGGTTTTATTAAATGTGCCAACTGCTAGGACTGTCTTAGGGAAGATAGCTTTTAGATGCGCAGCTCCACTGTCCTGGAATAGTCTGCAATTGAAATGGAAACTGAGCAATCTGGTGCCACTAAATGTTTTTAAAGCTCGATTGGATGCTACTCAATCGGAAGCTGTTGGTACCTGTTCATGTGGATAGTTATTGTAAATTGTAATCCCTGTAATGATGCTGTATGATGTCCTTTTTGTTTTTCTGTTGTTTTATGTTTTTCTGTTTCATGTGGAACCTACTTGAGCAGGTCTCCCTTGAAAAAGAGATCCTCAATGGGATACACCTGGATAAATAAAGGTTTGAAATGAAATGAAATGAAATGTACTGCCTTTTCATTTTAATTAACAAAGCCACATACTGTATCTGAATTTGTGTCAACATTTTTACCTTTAATTCGGAATTCTGACTTTTGACTCTCTGATTACTGTTTTTTAACTTATGAACTGGTTATCATGACTTAATCATTTTAGAGAGAGTCAAAATGATGACGTAGTAACTTGTTACTCACAAGTCCAAATGTGGTAGTCAAAGAAGTCCAAAAATACTCATGTATCTCATGACTATTTTATTTTTTTATTTCCTGGCAAAATGGGCTTCCTTGCATATTGGTCAATCAGGACGTATGAAGTAAGAGCTGTGCATTACATTGATGCACATCATGCGATCTTGTTGTTCAAAAAACAACCCAGCTTTTAAATCAGCACAGCTCTCCACTTTTAATATAGTTTATAGTATTTGTCATATTTTATTATACTGTACTCAGTTCCTTACATAATTATATGTTGTGTAGATTTTGTCTTATTTTTTATGTGTTAGAATACTCCTAAAATATATTCTTTAAATAACTGTTATAACAGTACTATATTTATTTGATTTTATTTTTGCTACGTATTCTTCTTTCTGTGTCTTACCACATATACCAAAGCAAATTCCTCCTATGTGTAAACCTACTGGGTAATAAAACCGATTCTGATCAAAACAAAGTATGTATTTTTTTAAGTAAGTGAGTGTTTTGTTCTTAATACCTGATAGTTCATGATGGCACGTAAACACATGATGCAGAGATGGACGTCATCTGTCTGCACAACACGAGAGTTCCTCAGGGCTTTCCTGTGTTGGAGAGAGTTGAATCTGCAGGTGAGAGACGTGGGGTTACAGCTTTACTGTCCCTACACGCATATGTATCTATATTTATCAACCACAAGCTTAAGTATGATCTTATTCTGTCAAAGGTTCTGTAGCAAAAAGGTGGATGCAGTGGCTGTATGTGCTTGGATTGTTGATAAAGATATTCAATATTTTAATTAGCATTTTGCAGATTACAGGTAAAATCCCAGAAACTCCCAATTTGTCAAATAACAGGTCTAATATCAGCAGTGTCGCTCAGACTTCTCTCACTGCAGTCTGAAGAGAGCCCACCACACTATGAAAGGAATGCAGTCACTTCAGAAAGATGACATGTCTTAGTGTGTGTTTGTGCGTGAGTGACTGTTCACGTGTAACTGCACAACTTCATTTGTAGTGACATCTTTTGAAGAAAACCCGCAGAGTTCATGTGCTGCTTTAATAACAATTACTCAATTATTTTCTGCCAAACAAAAAATATCTGAAATTTGAACATTGAATATTTATATATAAATATAAAAAGTATTTTATACTTTTATCCTTATTTTATATTGATTAATTATGAAATACAAAATGTAACAACTGTGTCATCTGTCGAGGGAGGGATCAGGAGGGAGAAACTGTTTGTGTGCTCTGAAATTAATCTGTGCAGCAGATGAAGAATTTCTGTGTGTGTGTAAATCTGTGTTTTTATGGAAAAGTGTACATACAAGTATGCAGTATGTGTACATGTACTTTAGATTTGTCTCATTAAGCAGGAAAGTATGCTTTACAGTACATTATTTAGGGATTTACAAGTGATAACTTTAAAGTTAAGTGCTCAAATATTTTTGGACCTCAACCCCATCCAACACTAGCCGGATGAGCTTTCTTTTATTCATCTTCTTAGTTTATACATGGCCCTTTAATAATAGCAGGGTTCATACACTTTTTCACCAATGATTTTCAATGACTTTTCCATGACTTCTCCATGACCTTTACCTAATTTTCCATGACCAAAAAAATGACTCTTTCTCAGCGGTACCACTGAAAATGGTTTATTTGAACATGGAACAGGAAAATAAGGTCTGCATATGAAACATGTTGTGCCTATCTAAAACAAATCCAATAGTAGGCTTACTAGCTTCTACACGCTAAAGCAACTCAAATCTCTCACCAGCAAAATACCTCGTCAGTTAGATGCCATTTTACGTTTCATTACTATACGATACAGTATTTATTAGATGGATAAAATATAAATTATATTTGATGCAACTTTAGTTACATTTCCATGACTTTTCCAGGTTTTTAATGACCGTAAGAACCCTGTAATAGTTTACTATACTGATATGTATTTCTATTAACTTGATGGATCTAACTCACTGTACTCAAGCATTGATTTGTAAACCTTGATAAAAAAAATGACAATACCCTCTAATCACATGAAGGGGTTAAAGAACAGGCGAAAAATACACAAAGCAATTCAGTGATACTCCAAAGAGTCCAAAACAAAGAGCTGCATAGAGACTCACAACTACTACTAGTGGCGATACAACTGCAAGGGGAAATAAAAATAACTAAGTAGGGCTAGTCAGGTAAAATAGTCAAATATGTCCATGCCAGTTTCTCCAAGGTATTTTCTTAAAATGCATTGCTTTGTCGGTTAAAAAAGAGGCTAAACAACTATAAAGCCTGTGTGAGGGTCTGGGGGCCATTGCCTGATCATCCACTCATAGGTTTAAACCCTTTATGAATACAATAAATATGCCTCAATAGAATATAAATCTGTTAAAAGAATATATACATGTGTACAGGATCAGCCACAAACCAGTACATCTCACTCTCAGCTGGGACAGAATCTCATCCACCTCACATGAAGCATCCTCTTTCTGTCCGTACCTGACTGTGAAGCCCTTGCTGGCCTTGGAGGCGCTGTGAGTGGGGGAGTTGCTGGCACTTCTGCTCAGATCCTCCACTGACTTGTCCACTATTTTGCTTTTGTCTGTGGGCAGCACTCCATTGTCCAAATTGTCCACATCATATCTGTAAATCACAGAATCAGAATTTAAACAAATGTTGCCGTGGTGGTATTTAATGTATGGGGAAGTGTGATACTGTTGAGGCTGTGTGGAGGAGATAAGACTTGACTGTTTCAAGCTTGTACTTACGTGACAGCACTGTGGGCAAAGGACAGATAATCCACAAGAACATCCAAGCCTTGGTTCTCTTCATTTAGGAACTCCTGAGCCCAGCTGCAAGAAAGAACACATAACACTAATGTGGAAAATGTGCTTTATAGGCCACAGAAATCACATCTTTCTGCCTTAACATCACCTGAATTTGTATTATTGAAAACTTTCAAAGCATATGTTCAGTTAATACAAACGTTTAATATTACAATTTGTATTTAATGTGTGAAAAATTCACTTTAAAGCAAGACTGATGTGTCCAATCATATTTTAGGAGGTTTTAAATTAACATGACATTTTAATATACTGTGTTAAGACATGGACACACTTTTAAATTCAACATGTCCTTTAGTGTCTCAAATGCTAGAAAGATAGAATGTTTTATTCTGAGGTTTTCTCAGAATGTAGTGGCTCAACTTTGAATGTGTGTTATAATGAGCTTCTCCCCTTGAACAGAGGGTTGAGCTTGACAAAGACTTTGAGAACTGGAGTGAAACTCACCCGATGTAATTGGTCCTCAGGGAAATCTCCAACTCTCTCAGGATCTGAGTGGATTCCTGCACACGTCTCTTAAACTGACAGCACACATGGAAGCAGGGAAGATGTGAAGTAAGTAAGAGCTTCAATATCAGGAAATCTAAGAGACATGTATTGAGTTAAAGCATTGACTGCAATGATATGCATTCATATTTAAAAGACAAGCTTCCTACCAGTGAAACTGACACAAATGACAAAAACACATGCCACATGAATATTTTCTTCTCATTCCGATCCGTCACATTTATAAACGGAATAAAATGAAGCAATACAAAATTAAAACGTTTCCAGGAAGGGAATCTAGCGTTTTACTGTGTCATCTAATTCAATCAATGTTGACTGCTGTTAAAGGTTTTAGGTCTGCAGAGTACCTTTTCAAAATCTATATATTGTTATGAATGCAGGAGGATGAGTGGGTTTTTAGTATTTTTGTGAGACATGAAGAAATTCAAGTTATATGCTACAGGTAGGATGAATGATTCATGTTTCTTGGGATTTAGGAATGTATGCTTTGGTGTCATTGACAGCTCTGTGAAATTATCCACATTTATATTGGGAATAGGCTTTTTTTCTTTACATCAATATTGAGCTGACAAAATGGAAATCTTGAAAACAACTGAGGATTAAAATCCAAGTCAATAAGGTTTTTTCCGATGCGTCCCTATCTATAATTAAGACAATTAACAGTCTTTTAGATCACGACCAGCATAACAAATAAGGCTAAGGTTACTTTTCTGATTTAGAATAGGTGTAAAAGTCCTTTTAGATCCAGCTTAATCGTTTGTAAACATAGTATTAACTGTAAATCTTAAAGATAAGATCTGAGGAACAATTCAGTACACAGTCACAATATGGAGTAACGGGATTTTGTGAACAGAAAGTGAGCCTCATATTAAGAGGTGAGATGGGAGTGTGGTACCTTACGACTGACTCCGCCATGATCCAGATAACTCTTCAGCTTCTCCAAATAAGCAGATGGAGGATTCTTCACTTGAAAGCGCTCCTGAAGAAGCAGAGAAACACACACACACACACACACACACACACACACACACACACACACACACACACACACACACACACACACACACACACACACACACACACACACACACACACACACACACACACACACACACCTTATTATATCTGATTGCAGTACTGCAGTGATGGGGGGGGGGGTCCAGAGGGCAGAGCTCAGGCGAGGCTTCACACAGGCCGTTTGATTACACAGCGTCTCTTATGCAAATTGGTTTGATCTTAACATGCTTCTAGAGAAATGATTCTACAGTAGAGCAGGAGTTATATTCACACACAGTCCAGCAGTCCCTTCAATCACACCATCTTTTAAGTTCTTTTTTACATTTGTATTCATGGAGAAAACAATAAGAGCTTACAAACATCTAAGTATGGAAGCCTATTTCCGCCAATGTGATGCAAAAAAACTAAAACATACTTCAAATCATTGTAAAGACTTACTATCTCACAATAATGACTTAGTATGTCGAAACAATGGCCTAGTATTTTGATATAATGAATTAGATTCTCAAAATGATGGTAGTATCTTAAAATAATGAGGAAGTATTTCAAAATAATGACTTAGTATCTCAAAATGACTTTGTATCTTAGACCACTGACTTGGAATCTCAAAATAATAACTTAGGTCTTCAGAAATATTGACTTAGTATGGAAAATATTGAGAAACGTTGTCAAATGAGTTATTATCTCAAAGTGAAAACGTACTATCTTAAAGGTGGCTGACTCTATTGGCTTTCATTTTCTTTTTAATTTTACGAAAATGAAAAGGTTAGTGAATCTCTGTTTGTTAGGGATAGGGGTCCACTGTCACTCTCCCATCATGTAGCAGGTTGTTATTAACCTTCCTTTGGTTACTAGGGTGATGTACAATATTAATGAGCTTCTGCATGTTTGTGTGTGTTTGAGGATTAGTGTGGTGTGTGGCATCCACATTGCATCACTGTACGTCAGCCAACCACAAAACAAGTGCCTTTATTTGGCCAATTGTAATCAAATATGCAGAGAGAAGTGCATGGTGACAGCCTGGGCAGTACATCTAGAGGGCACACCCACCTGGTCACAGATCAGATCCCACTTCTTCTCGTTGTCATACTGGCTGAGGATCTTCACCTTATCTGGAGGAAGATTCATTGTGTTCTAAAAAACAGAGAGAAAGAGGAAACAAGATGCAGGCTTTTAGATAGAAAGAGGCAGAATATATGAACCTGCGGCATGATAGAAAATATAATACAGTATTATACTGTTTATCTATTACTGAAAAGGAACAACAATATAGATGCACTGAGAAACAATGTAGAAACACTTTTGGGAAATATGGCCTCTTGTTAGCAGCAGTATTGAAAGTTCACAGTGTACATTTGTATATAAACTAATAATTGTTATATTTGCAGATTGTTTTATTGTTTAACTGCTACTGTGAGCATTCAACATGCAAACATACAACACAGGACACATTGATTATCTGGGAAGCTCAGGCTGCTGTCAGCTGTTAGTCAGAGTCTGTGAGTCAACAATAAAAGAGACACGTGTACTGCTTTAAGCAAAAATGACAACATTTGGTTGGTCATATGCAAATAACCTATTTGTCTGCGTAGACAGAATCAACAGCATTCTGACTCACTCAGGCACAGACAGGAGGCAATGTCTTTCCAAACTAAAATATAACCAATACCTCCCTTTTGGTTCTCTGTGACTAACAAAGTTAAGCAATTAAGAGTACATTGCTTCCTTGCTGCATTTAAAGGTGGTGAAAAATTGAAATAATAACCTGTATAATTTTAGGAAAACTTATTTTAAGAAAGACTTATTAAAGAAAATAAATACATAGTATATGGCTAAGTGGTTAACTGGTCGAACAGTTGTGTTAATAAATGTCTAGTTAGTTAGCAAATGTTGTTCACAAAAGTTTATAACTAAACCCATGTCAAACTAATGTATGATTATCATTTTCAATGGAACCTTTGCAACATTTCTTTTTGTGAACAGTGACAATCTTAACTATCAGAATAAATGTAAATAGATAAGTCAAAAGTGTTTTTATTTTCTCCCCTTTAGTTGTATTAATTTACTTTTGTGCAAATTATTTTTGCAAAAGTGTCAATAAAGATGGATTTTAGAAAAATATATAAAAAAGTTGTCCGTAGCCATTCCAAACTAACAGTTAGTATGCTTTCTATTGCTGCTGGTTTATAAAGCTTTGAATGGTTTAGGCCCAAAATACATTTCTGACCTCCTGCTAAATTATGAACCATCCAGAACTCTCAGGTCTTCAGGGACAGGTCAGCTTTCTGTCCCCAGAGTCAGAACTAAACATGGAGAAGCAGCGCTCAGTTATTATGCTCCAAATATCTGGAACAAACTCCCAGAAACCTGCAGGTCCGCTGCAACTCTGACTACTTTTAAATCCAGGCTGAAGACTTTTCTTTTTGACGCGGCTTTTAATTGAACTATTCACATCTTAAACTGCACTGTAACTTTTATCCATGTATTCTTTCTTTTAATGTTTATTTTATTATCTTTGCTTTTTAATGACTGATTTTAAATGCCATTTTCTTTATGTCTTTCATCTTTGTAAAGCACTTTAAATTGCCTTGTGTTGAAAGGTGCTATATAAATAAACTTGCCTTGCCTTGCCTTGCCTTTCTCAAAATCTTACCACTCATGTTAAGTGACCTGTATGGTCTTACATTATTTTATGGCAGGATTAGTTAATGTCGTCTTAAGTATTCATGGCCACGGGTCAAGTTGTGGACCTCCAAACTCATGGTATAATTGAACTAAGCAGACTCAGTCCTAGAAACAACATGACAACAAACACAAGTGGACAGTTCCCCACTATGGAGCCTTCTTCAATAATGAATGTTTTCATGGTCATGACCTTCCTGTTCAGTCACTATGAGTCAGAAGTCACTGGTGCTAGGTGAACATTGCAATTCTGCAAAGCTGTCGTCACAACACAATAACTGTTTTGTTGCTATCGACGCAGCACGTCATTCACCTTCTCATAAACAGTGATATAATGTTACCTTACTAATATATTAACCGCAAATCTGAAATGCTGCTTTGTGTGCTTTATCTATAAAAGTCTATGAAAATAATCGATTTGGAAAAAAGCATCCTGATACTATACTTTGATAAACGGCTCATCTTAATATCAGCTGTTTGAGGATACATTTGTTTATGTGGATTTTTAAATATATATTTTATAAAAACGTTTCATCCTTGGTGATCTTCACAACATTTTTTGAGAGGCTCCAAAGAAAGATTCTCATCACACACACACACACACACACACACACACACACACACACACACACACACACACACACACACACACACACACACACACACACACACACACACACACACACACACACACACACGAAACTGGGCTAGTCGACAGGAGACATCTACTCAAGGGCGACGTGCAGTCAGCTATCTGCTCACTGTTTAAATGCTACATATCCTCCTCTTATCTCATCTGGTTCCTCCCTCACACTCCTTCTCTCGTCTAAGTTGTAGCAGAGTGTCTCATCACGAGGCCCGTGCCACAACACTGACTCAGTTTGCTGAGGAATGTCCCGCAGTGGTTACTTACTGCTGACTTGACTTTATTTTACCTCTGAGCCGCGGAGATTAGCCCAAGCTTAACCACATAAGTCTTTAAATGTGTCCTTTTATAAAATGGAAATTATACAATCATTATACAACATTCAATGTTATCCTGACGTCAAAGCTGAAGCTGAAACGCAGGGAAAGCTACAGTGAAATACAGTGGCTCAGGAAATTCTAAATGGCACAGCAAATCAATGTGAGGCTGGATGTGAATCTGATAAATCAGACCTGATTAATGGAGCCGCTGGGTCAATATGTGCCGGTTATAGGCCTGCTGGAACACTCAGAAAAACAACTCTAATACTGCAAGAGAAGTCCCTGAAATGACAAGTATGTATTTGTCTATAACATTCAATAATTATGTTTGCAAAGGTAACTATCAACTTTTGAAAAGGATTTTAAGGTATTATTTAAGAAGAGTTCAACACTTAAAAACTCTGCTCCATCAACACTGTGACAGTTACCGAATAATTCACAAAATGTGAGCAGAATTGAAGTACTTCACTAGTATATTGCCACATTTATCCAACAATATCAAAAGCAAGTTTGTCCTACATGAGTTTCAAGAATCAGAGAAGCTGATTTTGCACAGCTTTCTGTTAAAAGTACAGAAAGTCTTACACGGTTGTCAGCTTGTCCCATTTACGTCAAAGCGTAGAACAACATACGGAATCCCTGAGCTGCGAGGAAGAAAGGGAGGACAATCTGGAGATATATTTTCTATAAAGTCTGATCTAAGAGGTTTTTTGTGCTGAGTAAGATTTTGCTAGGGAGATCTTTTTTTGTCAGGATTGTTTTATTCTAAATAGGACTAAAGCTATTCCTTTTCTCTTTCAGGTGAGTTTAAACACAATACAAACATTGCTTTGGAACTCTGTATTTTAAAGGGCTGCGTCTTTCTATACATTAAATCAATAGGTGCCACATTTCAGTAGACAATGCATCTGAATGACCCAGTACAAGTAAGAGGCTTTGGCAGAGAGAAAGTGAGTCATCCGTGCTGACTAGGCAAAAGCAGTCACTAGTGTAGTTAAACTCTTCAAAACTGGACGTTGACTAAGTTTGCTGTAAAGATGCTGAATTTTAGACCTATTTTGTACGACTGAAATTACAATTTTTGGGAGCAAAATACAGAAGAAGGTACTGTTTGGTACTGAATTACAGGTACTGATATCAGTTTGAATATAAGTGGTACCCAAACCTTTTTGTGTCCAAGCAACAAATGTATATTTAAATGTTGTATTTGTTCAGAAATGTATTTTAATCTGTGCTAATCTGCAGATTTGACTCCGATTTAGAACATGGGGTAGTGGTGCTCTTCAGTTATGTGTGGCTGAAATGAAGATTACATCTTTCACCTGTTTTTCCAGATGAAGAAAATAATATCAAACTCAGAAAATTGATTAACATGAATACACACAAATGAGTAACACTGCTTTTTGTGTTGGGTTATTTTCATGAACGATTACATTAACAAAGCACCTGGCCAAGAGCTCCGGTCAGCATCAAATCAGTCTCTGGTGTGTTGTCTGGATGGAAGAACCACTCTACTGAAGTGGGGTCAGACATCTGAAGTATAACCTGTGTTCCGTATTTAAACAAGTTCCATTTTCATCTTTGGCGTGCTGATTTACCGTGTGATCCTTTTATACACCCTAATGCCTCATTAAGTGTGAAAGCATGTTGTCACACTCAATACGACACCATGACAACCTGCACAGTTACTGCCTCAGTATTCTCTACTTTAGAATCCCTCTAACACAGCCTCCATTATGCTGATTTAGAGGCATTTAAAGAAAATAGAGGACCTTTTACACCTGATTGTATTCTCTATGTTGAGTGACTGGACAGTTACCACACGTGAGGTTAAAACAGAATGGAAAGAGTGGTACATTCAAGAATACAGGGCTCAAAACTGGCAGCGGGAAGACAATGTGTTGAATTCAGCGGACAGAAATGGGACAAATGTTGTGTCGCTGAAAGATGCACTCTGAATTCCTAAATGTGCTGACTATCCCGAAAGGACATGATCAATGGATTTATCATGTGAACAGAAACAAGCTGCGTTTGCTATCTAGGCTGAATAATTGCTGCTAAATCTGTGTCCTTATTTCTCTCCCTGCCCTGCTGTCTCATACAGTGGAAGTCTGCGTCTGTTTTGCATGTAATCTTATTTCACTGTAACACATGTAATCACGTTAAAACTAATTTCAGTATCAATATATTTAATTATTAAGAAATACACTTTAATATACATTTACATGCAAGAGTATACTGTATAGGGGTGCAGAAGGAGCCGGAGAAGCTTAACATTGTATTATTAATAAAATGCAATAAGCTATACTGGCAAAAGTGGAGGGAGCCTTGTAACTGGTACCACATTGCATCCAATAAGGGTGTTTCTATGTATCGGTATTGAAGTTAACCATGATATAAACATTTAGATATTGAATTTGAAAAATAATATGAAAATGTGCACAAACATAAAAAATGTTTGCGAATTCTGTAGGCAACAATAATTGTGTAGCGAAAATGTGATATTAATAATTCCAACGTGCAATAAAATGTTCAGGCTTGTGTGTATTTTTACCCTTCCAGTATAGTCACTCTTTGGCTTCCCTATTCACTCTCTTTACAGATTAAAGGCATGAAAAGTATCCATTTATAAGGCTTTTTTACCCATTAGGTCGAAATAAATTGTAAAAGTCAAATTCTGATCCTACCAAGAATGATTTGCGGGAATTTGCAATGCTCATTAACTGCATATATTGTGTAATGATTGATTTGAGTTCTGTCTCTGGCCACTATACCAACATTATCACCAGGACTGTTCCTGGTGGGTTGTTTATCCATCATCCCAAAGGTTGTTCAAGGCTCGCTGCGGGCCAGTCCATTTCACACCAAACTGGAAACATATTTTTTTTAAATGGAGCTTGGGAGTGGGACTTTTGGTTGTGCAGTCTTACAAGAAATTAACTCTTTATAGGAGACGTAATTCACTATCTGGTTATCCTGCTAAATCACTATGAAATGTTTTTTAATGTCAGTCTTAAAACTCCTAGTTAGGATAAAACACAGTAATGACATTATTGCTCAATTAATTCTGCCAAACAATCGTATAATATCTTAACTCTTAACCAGCTGTATGATTAGAACGGCTAACAAGTGCGTATTTTGTTCTGTGGTTTTTCTTCCTGTCGCAGTCTGTAAACACAGTACACAAATCGACAGATGCACATTTGCAATTCCACCCACTGCCGCATTCCCTGTTGGGAAATATGCAAAGTGTTATGTAAAAGTGGGAAAAGTGCTCCACGCTAACTTGGCTGTGCCTAAAGCGTTTGAACACTGGCACAAACACTACTGCGTAGATTTCTGTTGATTCGATATTGATTCTCCCAGTTATGAAAACACTGCAGTGGCATCAGACACATCCATCAGCACATGAATAAAGCATTGATGAAAGCTGCTCGCAAAGAAACCTATTGGCTTATATAACTCCCAAACACTGCCTGTCCTCATGCCAATGTGTACATGAGAATGCACACACACATTATCCTCCCCCTCCAAATCCACACCTCTTCTCTTGTCCCTTTGAGAAGAGAAGAATAAGAGCAGTGACACTTTGGAGCATCCCTCACTTTAACATCCCGCACACAGGCGGGCGCATGTTTTGTATGCAGACAGAGTATCGTCTCCGTTTAGCACAGGAGATTTGCTGTGCAGACTCAGCACAAGATGTAGGGGCGACTGCATGAGGAGGGGATGTGTGGGAGAAATGATCTACGTACATTTGGTGGGATGCAATGATGATGTTGCAAAAAAAAGAATGCCGGGAATGTGTTCAGCAAAGGGAGGAGAAATTATTTTAGATGCAGTTAAAGTGCTGCAGAGTGACGCCTGCTTTTTTGAACATGAAAGAGTGCACATTCACTGCAGCTCCACACATGCTGAAGCAGAAAAACCTGCAGCAGCTGGCACAGGGCATATGCTGGTGTCACATTCATTCATTGCTGTGGTCATCCCACGACCCCACACACAAATCATTCCACTGCCAGAGGGATTGAATCTACTCTGGGTACAATATGGATATGCACTCTAGGTAAACATCCTTTGCAAACGACTTCCTGTATGCAAAACAAGGATAAGAACAGAACGCAGTATTAGATGAGGAGATATCCTCTGACCTCCACTCACTGACAGATAGTCAGCATCATTTGAACTAACAGACTATGTTTCAAACTGGAATCAGACATTGTGCATAAATACTGTTTATTTATTCTGAATAGTAGAACATGTAATATTGTGGCCACATAATGTTTTTATGGTTTTGGCCCTTCAGTTCTAATGATTGGAAAAACTAATGCTACAGCAAAGAATGAAAGAGATAGCTTAAAATACCTTGTTTATAAGAAAACATGTTATATTTAATTAAATCACCTTCTAGAGAAGGTCAAATGTTAAAAAGACATGTATATTATATGGCCAAAATTATGTAGATATCTCTGACAAAACACTTTGGGTGTACGTGATTTTGTCTACACAACGTCCTGTATTGAAATTTGAAGCCAATGTGGAAGGGCTTCAAAAGTGAATTTATTCAACCAGCGGAGGGCAATTCCTTTGGCTGCAAAAAGAAGTCTGATTGCATAGAAGTATATGAAAAAATGACCCTACTTCTCACTGGATTTATTACCATACTAAACATTAATCTAATATGTTTATAGTCTCAATCGTTTCAAGTCTTATTCAATACAGTATGGTGATAAAATCTTAAATTATGATCACATTTAAAGTAATAGAAGATATGGCAGGGTCTGCTTTAGGGCGTGGCTACCTTGTGATTGACAGGTTGCTACCGAGGTCTTGTCCGGTCTCAATGCACTTTGTGTTGACTAAACTGTGGAGTTTTGAACATGACTTATTCCAGGGTTTTGGAATCATATGGAACCATAATATACTTTATTATATAATTCTTAACAATCAATGTAGTGTATTTCAGCTCCAGGCGACAATGTGTGGAAATACAAAATAATTGAAAATATAATTAAAAGGCTGACTGAAACTATTTCCGACTTCACAGAGTACGGTTGAGAGATTCCCTATTGAGAAAACCCATTAGCTCTTGAGCAGGCATAATGAGAGTTTGGGTTCTGCGCTATCAGGGAGGGTTTTATGCTCATACTCATTGATTGACCTGCCTCAGTGGAAGGGAGCAGCATTTATCAGGGCTTTAATTGATTGCCATTCACCTTCAGGAGGGTTAGAAGGAAGCTGTTCCTGTAAGTATACTCACTGACTAAAAAAAACCCAAGTCTGTGTTTTTATCTTCCCAGCTAAAATCACAGACCAGCTCAACGTGATGACACATATCACCCATCACCTCAGAGATGAGGACACAATAGGAATGCAGCTTATCATACATAATGTCGTCCGGCCACATATCACATACATAGCTGCATTCTCAGACTCAAAACCGTCTCCCCTTGTTTTTTTCTGACTGTCACCACCAAGGCATGAGTTCAGTTTGTCACTGCATACTGTATGTTGTCACAAACACGAGACAGAAGGAAGTAATGAAGAATAAATTAAGTTACGGTAGTACGAGGAGTGCTGTTCTGGTATGAGAATCATTTTGTGGCTTTGACTCGAAGGGCCAGGCAATAAACAAAGTCCATTTATTTAACACAATATGTCAATATAATTTTTGTACAAGAAACATGAAGGCTTCTTGGTGAATGAAAGTCAGGGAGAGTTATTCTCAATAAAACCACAGCACACAGCTGCTAACCACTCGGCTAAAGAAAGTTATGACCTGGTCAAAAGAATGTGGACGCCTCAATAATGTATCAGAAATGTGATAGTTGAATATGTCAAGGTATCACAAATCTTGGACATAATTTTGCTATGACAACCTACACTCCACTTTGATCTTACCAGATGTTGAACCTGACTATGGTCCCAATGGTGTATCACTACCCCACTGATCTACAGGTGGCTGTGATGCACCAAAAACACAAACATGTACCAGCTAAGTCATTAATAAGAAGACTTTTGCTAAGTGTTTTATTCAAATGGAAACATCCATGTCAGGAAAGTGAAGCCACTGCACGCTTTTGTGTTACTTCTGGTTCCTAAAAAACAAGATGGCGATGGCCAAAATCAAATGTCAAATTTGTGGCTTTAAAACCAAAAATTAAATCTCAGGTCACTGAGAGTATCCTACATCCACTTCCTGTCAATTGCATGCATTGGATGCCTTTGTTACATCTCAAGTATACACAAAATGTGTTTTGGTGAATAACACAACATGTAAACATTTTAAAAGATGGGGTGTAAAAAAACAAGAATAACATGTAGGTGTGAATAGTATGTTGTACCTGCAAAGTGAGTTGTTTTCACAATTAGAAATTATTATATTTATTATATTATTGCAATTTAGTTTGGAAGACCTTTCCACTTATTTTGAAGATATATTATTATTTTGGAGAAGACACAGTTGGATCTGGCTTGCAAAGTGTTCAAGTTACATCCGAATGGGGTTGGAGGGGTTAGCGTTCAGAGATTTGTGCATATGAGTCAAGTTTTTCTACACTAAACTGGAAGTAAACATTTAATCATGGATTTGGTTTTGTCACAGGGGCATTGTCATGTTGGAACAAACATACGACAAACATGAACTGTTGAAACTAAATTAGAAGTACATAAATTGCATGTCATCACACATTCCTGTTAAGCAGGACTAAGGCTTAGACCAAACCAAGTAAACACAAATTGTGTCAACAATGGTGCCCACTTTCTATTGGTCATTAAGTGTATTTACTCTTTGTAACATTGTAGCACTCTCTAAAAGAGCATTAAATCAAATATAATAGTGATATACAAGGTATTCTAAGCTGATTTTAAAGCGTTGATGGTCAAAGTCAAGCTAAATTGCACATTTTATGAAATTGTAAACAGATCTGACCCCCCCTCTATCATTTATCCTCCAGCAGACCATGCAGTGAGCCTAATGCTGCAGTAAGCTCCAGCATAAAGGACCTCTTATGTATCTTTCCACAGTGGCATTGTGTACCTGGCACTGTGATAAGCTGGTTCTAAGGACATGCACATTTCCAACATATTCCAAATTCTTAGTTTTTATAAACTGTTTGCCTTGTGTCCCTTTGTTTTTATGTGAAAGTTGTAAAGTGCCAAGTGCACAACTCACCAGCACTGCACTGAAGCGTTGCTCGAGTTCTTCTTCAGGTGGCATCGGGAGTTTTGCAGATGGATTCTGGGAGCCCGTGGACCCTGGAGGGGCCGACACCGCCTTGCCCTCTTTCCCCTGGGGTACCTCCATGCTTCCTGCTGCATTTCCCATGATTGTAAATGTAATATATCCAAGAAAATACACATACAAAAAAAAACGTCTCCCAAATATAACTTTGAATCTAGTTTGTCAAAGTTACATGTGAGGCTCTGTGTGGCCCGTGACCTTTTGTTATTTCCATGACCACAGGCTTTTGGTTGATCCTATGAAGTAGCATTCATTACTGGTCCATACTCTCAAACAAGGAGAAAGCAGTGGGATGAAATGCACCCCTGCCCCTGAATGAGATCCTGATGCATTATGAAACCCTAGACAGAGGGAAGGGGATATCCTGAGAGTGACGGACAGAGTGACAGCTGAACCAGTGAAAGAGAAGGGGAGGAGATGAAGTTCAAAGCCTGGAGCTCTGCATGCAGGACGAGGCTGCAATAGGAAGAACAAATATAGGATTAACCAAGAAAGGTATCACTTCCCGCTGCACAGGTGGGGAGAGAACTCTGTAGGAAACTACTCCAAAAGCTGCAGTGCTCTCGGGTAATGAGTCTTAGTTGGGCGTGCAGGAAGTCCGTGGAAGCCCTCCATCTGCTGTTGGATGCTGGGAGACTCTGGGACTTTGATCTCCATATCCAGAGGAAAAAAAGAGGAACAGAGGGAAAGGCAGAGATCCAGCAGGCAGCACTGTGTCTATCCGAAACAGAGACAGAGACGGAGGGCAGCAGTCCTCACAGCCGACAGACCAGCCAGATCCAGCACCCTGGGTCCTAAAGCCTCCATGTACTAGAAGCAACATGTTAATTCAGTAGGCTACAGAAAAGACACAGAATTAAGCATGTCTTCAAATGCCCAATCAGGAATTTTAAAGGTACCTCTATAATGGTATTATGGCTTGTAATAACCACAATTTGCTTACATGTTTTGCATTTTTGAGTAGCTTTAGGGGCCATTATGGTGTTTTAGTGACCAGACTTTTATGTTAGTTATAAGAATTTTAAGTGGGCTAAATTGGCTTACCCAGAGTTTTTGGCATGAAACATGAAAATGTGATACAATTAAGATGATTTTGCTTTTTTTTAATAATAAGGCTCTTTGGTAGTGTGTGTGTTGTATCAACAAATCCCACAGAACACCAAAACCAGTGAAAACATGGCACCTGATTTTCGTATTCATTTAATTTACGATTCTGGTTAAAGCATGTACTATTCTTACTTTGCTATCAAGAGAAAATACCAAAACAAACACTGAATGCATCTACAAACATATATCATGTTTTTGTAAGAAACCCTGATATATCTTCTTCCTCTATTGTGGTCCAAAAAATATTAAATAGACCTTAATTGAGTCACACTGTTGCACCGGTTGACGTGTTCATTCATAATCATTAACCCACACATTGTAGTTTATTTTTGAAATACTGAAAATAGCCAAAAATACTTAAAATGTGTGTTAATCCGCCAAGGAAAATAGTCCCTAACCAATTCAGGATTTCTTCCTGTTTATGTAACGCTTGAAAAAAACTAAAGTTGCCATAGTTCTAAGGAGATTACTGAGCCTTGTTAGTCACTAAATATTGTCACAGACCAGAAAAGCCTTGAAGAAAACATTTGAAATATTATTATGGCGCTTAAAATTTGCCTTTTGCATGGAAGTCTGGGATTGATGTCGCAATACAGTGGGAAAGAAAGAAAACTAATGATGTCTGAAATGTGTTAAGCAGCTTTAGTTTAGGGGCCTGGTATGGTTAGCTTTCCCACAGTCATGGTTTACTGGGACACTTACATAGAAGGTATATTTAATGATATTGGTAACTCCTGTGCTAATGTATTAGTGTGATGAACATATTGTAAGGACCTATTGTTTTTATGTGATCATTACAAGTTATTTTATATGTTTGCATAGGCTAGAAACAGGATGTGAATTTTCATTTGGACTAATTGTAAATTACATGAAGTTATGGTACAATCTGTAAATAAAAGCAGCAGTAGGCATCTTTCTTACAAACAGGTAAAAGGCCAAACATTGGCAGTTCAAAGAGCCTCATTCATACCAACATGCGTCATCAGAAACTCATAATACCCTGCATCCTAACCAACCAGTGGCTGCTAAAGAGGATCACACACTTAATCACAATCATATGTTGTGTGGCTGCAGTGATGACCTCATGGTGTTGTTATTGGCTACAGGGTGTAACAGGAAAGGTGGAAGCAGACGTTAATAAATGATGAGTGTCACACTGATACCTACATGTATGTCTGGACACGCCTGCTCAGCGGCACACAGGACATAATAAAGTGTGACACATTTACTGGAGGAACTCTGTCACTGGGTTTAGTCTGAATTCAAGAATAAAGGGATGAGGAGCTCTGTGAGGTTTCTAACAGATAATGGTCTGGAGTGACTAGTCCAAAAGTACAGCACACTACTATATGATGAGTACCCTGACTCAAAATAAAGATCACAATATATGTACACTTATTTTTATACTCTAAAGAATTTACTGGAGATTGTATCATAACATGCAGTCATGGAGTTTTCTCACATATCGTATTTGCAATAACTACAGAGATGTACTGATTGTAATTTTCTTGGTTAATTCCATTTTCTTTGTTTTGTTTTTATTTAAGAATGTGCAGCTTGTTTGTCTTATGTACAATGAAACTGAATATCCTTGGGTTTTATATCGCTGTTTTGACAACAAAAAAAGCACTTAAAATGTCACCTTGGACTCTAGAAAACTGTAATGGGCACTATTTGGAAGGTTATGTTTTAATGTTTGAAGACCCAACTATTAAACTTGAATATAAAACGGTACAGTAATCAAAGAATAATTGTCAGTTGCAGCTCAGCTTCTCCTGAAAAACATTACCCTCTTTTACAGCTGAACTGTTCTGCATTTACATTATATCCATTGTTTGGATTGAGTTGAAACATCAAAACAACAACTTATTCATCAGTTAATCAAGCTAATAACTAATAATAATTCATTGATAATAAAAAAGTTGCAGTTTTTTAAGTTGCGGACATAATGTGTAATTCAGCTGATAATCAGACTGAATTTCTGATTATATTTTCATAACAAATCATTATTGGCCTTGATGAGGACAGTACTTTATGTCAGTATGAATGTGAAACTGTGTGTTGGTATGTGTGGGTGAATTATAATTTCTCTGTCACCTTTAATTATTTAAAAAAGATTTGCTTTGTACACTTTTTCTGTTAAACAACACTGTATCCCTGTCTCTGTCCTCTTCATAGAGTAATGTCATGTTGTAAGCCTCTGCATCACACTGACACCTAGTGGTCAACACATGGTATTACAGCAAAAGAGCTCTTAAAGGTCCCATGTCATGCTTTTCCGGTTATTACCCGTCCCCTTGTGTGTTATGAAGGTTTTTCTGCATGTAAACGGTCTGCAGAGTCAAAAACCCTCAAAGTACACCCTGTAGCGAGTAAAACTCTAACACAGAAAAGACCTGTCTATGCTGCCCCAGAACGCCTCGTTGGAGATCCACGGAGCACCTCACACACCAGGGGCCGTTCTCATTTCATCAAATTCCCCTCCTCGACTCCCCTCCTTGACTCCTATCCTCGAGACTTAGTCCCGCCCACAGGAGATGCGAGCGGAGGAGCCGAGGAGGGGAACCGAGGAGAGAGGAGGGGAAGCAGCAGGCGGTTAGATAAATGAGAACTCCTCTCCTCTGAGTGGTCATTTTAAAGAGACGTCCATTAATGATGACAGGAGGCACAGCAGCCCTCTGTCTGATGGACAGATGTGTTCATGACGACTTATATATTTACTTTTAATTCATTGACAGTGCGGTATAATGAGACAATAACAGGCTACAGATGCGGACACACACACGCACACACACACACACACACACACACACACACACACACACACACACACACACACACACACACACACACACACATATATATATTTATATAAATATATACAATTTCAGAATCAAACAGAGCACTCTCATAATAACGTAACACTATCAGAGACTGGATATATCCCCCCCCCTCTCCCCTCTCTGGTCGCTATAATGAGGAAAATAAATTGCGGGCCAAAAGTTTTATTTGCAAGTATTAAAAGTAAGCAGAGGACACCACACACACGCACCTACAGCTCCTAAAGCATATAATCAGGCTACAGCCGTTGTGTATTTTATTATGTGAAGCACTAAATGGTTTTAGAAAAATATCGACTCTTTGTTTGTAGATATCTACTAAACTAAAGCAAATAAAGAGAGTAGGCCTGTTATACTGAGTGATATATATTATACACACTGCTCTGCTTTCTGCACGGACCTCACAGCTGTTCTCACTGTAAACATCGCGTCTCGACTCTTTGAAACATCTCTGTTCCCGGAAATGCATCCACGAAGGAGCCGTGGAGGACCGTGGAGTGTATCCTCGGTTATAGCTCCTCCAGAGAGCCTCCTCGACGCTCGATGCTCGATGCTCGGTCCTCGATGTGCATTTAGAGAAATGAGATGTCCTTCAACATGGCGCGCTAAAATTCATTTCCGGGTCACTACCGGAGGACCGAGTAGTCGAGGAGTCGAGGAGGGGGATTTGATTAAATGAGAACGGCCCCAGGATCCCTTGGCTAACTTATGGCGCATTTCCACTACACGGTCGGCCTCGGCCACACTCGGTACGGCTCGGTACGGCTTGGCCGCGTTGGGCCTTAACAGGGCCGACTCACTTCATGCTGCGCTTCCATTACAGTTTAGGAACTGGGTAGTAACGCAGTGTAGGCGGAGCCGTGACGTCATCTTCAATGAGAAATCCAGAAACACAACACAGCCGTTAGCTGTGAGCACTCAGAGCTCACAGCTCCTTATATATGTTCAGAAACTCGACAAAAGTTAAACAAGTACACACCACAGACTGCCTGTGTCATGGTGAATACAGTCGCTGCTTAATTTATGTCTGTATAGGCCGTTGTTGTGAGTGTGGACGGTCGGGGCATATACTGCGTTAGCTTAGCCAATCTCCATCTAGAAAAACACGAATTTTAAAAGGTTTTTCGCCTGCCGTCTGTCTGCAGACTTGACAAAGCATTAATTCATGGTTTTTACTAACCGGTATCAGTATGTTGTTACTTCGGCATCATTTTGAAACGTGTATTACAATTAAATCACGGTCAAATATGTCCATCTTGTTGTAGTTCTAGCCCACTTGCCAGCGCTCCTCTCTCTAGTTTAGCATACTCAGCCCGACTCAGCCCTGTTTGTTGGCCCCGATAGAACCACAATTTTCTAGGGCCAGAAAAGAGGGGAAAAAGTGGCCCCGCGCCGTGCCGCGCCGGAACGAGGCCTAGTGGAAGCACAACCAAAAAAGGGGACGGCACGACACGGCACGCTTAAAGCGAGCTACGCGCTGCAATGGAAATGCGCCATAACAGGGAGTCCCCATTGACTTGCATAGAGCTCCCTGAACGCTGGTAATAGACGAGTTGGGATCGCGGAGAAATGCTCTCCGCAGACCCATAGAGTGGCGAAGTCCCTCCCACTTACTTCCGGGGTATGGGACCTTATTTCGGAAAAATTATGCATTGAAGTCAATGGGGAGAGAAAACTTATCTTTCGATCCCGTTTGAATTGTGCCATGAATTACACATATGATGTTTGTCAATCTTAAAAAATCATTTCCATGTCAAAAAAGTCACAGTTTGTCGTAAAACTGTTGAAATATAAGACTATGAAAAATACGCAACTAGAAAGACTACAAATCCCAGAGTCGCGTAAGTGATGTCACAATTGAGACACTACGATATACGTATAATACCGTATATATACGATCAGCGCCATATAGATATAATCTATCTATATGGCGCTGGCTAAGATAAGATAACTTTAACAAGATGCCTGTGTGCTTAGTACCAGGTTGTTATTATACCAGCAATGGGTCTTGCTCGTTCTTTCGCTTCCCGTCTGATGAAAGAGGAGTGTGTGGATCAAGTTAGCTACCTAGCTAGCACGTTAGTTAGCATTACAGCCTTGTCATTTTTATTAGCCTTAACATGAAGTAACATTAAGTAACCCAAAATGTTAAACAGTAAGAGTAGTAGTCATATTTCGTGAACCCTTTGAATAGTATTGTCACCGGTGTGATCATTCTATAATACACCATTTAAGCCCGGGGGAGAAATGCTAACGCTAACGTTAGCATCGGCGATCTTCTCTACTTCATGCTATCTGCACAAATGGTTGACATTAAACATTAAAACGACCAGGCAGTTCAGAGAGAATCAAAGGAAGGCAGGCAGGCAGCTTTGCATGACATTCTTCAGGACGTGTTTCATTGTGGTGATAGTGAGGGTCGTTGTGTTGACAAGACAGTAGTGACGGCCATCTTGGTGACGTCACGTGTGTTGTTGACCAGAGATGTAGTTCATTTAGCGTTTCACACAAACAAATGTGTTACTTCACAGTTTTACGACACTTTATTTTTTTTTTGACTTGCAAAATTATCTTTTAAATTGACAAACATCATATGTGTAATTCGTGGCACAATTCAAACGGGATCGAAAGATAATCTTTCTCTCTCCATTGACTTCAATGCATAACTTTTCCGAAATAAGGTCCCATGGGGCTCCACCGGAAGGGGAGGGACTTCGCCACTCTATTCTCACAGCGTTATAAACCTTTTTCTTACTCAATATCAAGCCACACTTATTGTTTTTACTTCGGCTGTGAGTGTTTGTGTGTGCTCAGGATGAGTTTAGCTTGTTCTCGCTGTACCCGGCCCGGAAACCTGTCCGCTCCTCGCAGCAGCGGTGAGCAGCAACGAGCCTCGCAACGAGCCTCGCAACGAGCCTCGCAACGTCCCGACCAATCAGAGCACACTAGGCTCACAGGGAGGGGGGGGGGGGGGGCAGGAGCTCCAACAAGCCGTTTAGGACAGAGAGTGAATACCCGGTGAATGCACATACTATGCAGAGATGCTGTATGAGAAACCAATGTGATTTGGGAAAATTGCACAATTTAAATCTATTCCAGTAGACCTCAACAATGGAAATATGATCAGTAGAAATGGCCATGACATGGGACCTTTAACTCATTTTAGCACTCAAATCTTTACATTTTACGTTTTTTTATTAACTAGAAATGAAATGAGGAGATGAACTGCACTTTATGAAAGCATTATTTGTAAAATAACAAGTCATTTTAATTGTTTGGATTAACTGTGATGATAAAGGTAACAACTAACAAGGATTTCCATGGGGCGTTTTCAATACGAGGTTAACTGGCTGATTTTAACCAACATGGATCCAAACATGCTGTACCTGTGACAGCATAATCTTAAATGTAAGACCAAAATAGAGATAATTTAATATAATGGATTATACTTCATGAGTCAAATTCCTAGAAAACTGGAGGCAATTTCCCCCCTTGAACACTGAGTTCAAGGGTGAACTGTGTGTGGTTACATACTTGTTTTTAAACTGAAAATGCAAAACCTCTGACAAAAACAAAATGCAAAATGTGCTTGAATCTAATGCATAGCTCGCCTTAAAGGTAGGGTAGGTACATTTGAGAAACCGGCTCGAGATCGCTAGAATTTGAAAATACACAACCGGAGAAAATCTGCCACTTCCTTATAGAGCCCCTCCTCCAACACACACGAACGCGCACAGGACCAATGAGGGCACGAGATAAGTTTGTGCACAGATGGAAGGCTGACAGGCAGGTAGGCCATCCAGTTATTTTAGCCGGGCCGGCTAAAATGATTGGTCTTGCTTTTTACAGTACTACGGCTTCCACAGATGACATTTTTTTATGGATTTTTTGTCAAAGCACTTAAGATATTCATTGCTATCGGGATGTTAAGAGCATTCCATGGAATATAACAAAAAGTGTATCTCGAGCCGGTTTCTCAAACTTACCTAAAGTGCTGTAAATAATGTTTGTTTTTTTTAGGTTTTTAAATGCATCACATTTGATTCCTACAGACAAGTGAAGACAACTACAATAATAACTATAATACAAAATACATGTATAAAAGAGTCTTTGATACACACATCCAACCAGTCTTGCTATATAATAGTTATAGATAATGCAAAATTGTGATACACGTGTTTTTTTTTATAGTCCGATGATAAATTGCAATTTATAGCAAAGTATTTCATTTTTAACTGATAAATAAGTGTAGAAAGAAGTCTAGTTTTGTTTTTGGGTCAAGGTTTGGGTTTGGTTAGAAATTAGGTCAGGTTAGGGTTGAGGTTTGAACTACTATGCTTTTTGGGGTTTTCCCTTTCCTGTAGTGCAGGGGTGTCGAACTCAATTTCATCGCGGGCCACATCAGCATTATGGTTGCACTCTAAAGGGCCGGTTGTAACTTTAAGACTATGTAAAAAAATACATATATAAATATATCATATCAAATAATGTTTTATATTACATTATTGCCTCTGCATTGGATTATTATCGGATAGGGTAATAATAACTTCATAATTAACTACGACTGAAAGCAGAAGTTTAGGGCAAATAATTGCAAGTCTCTTCAGTGAGAATGTAACAAAAGTGACATTTTGAAAAAAAAGTAACATTTAAGAAGTCAAGTCAAATTCTGAGAAAAAAGGCATATTTTGAACAAATCAAATCAAATTCTGCAAAAAAAGGCAAATTTGAGATGCATTGTGCTCCATGTATGGGCAACGTGCCTCTGTAAATCGGCATGTAACCGTATAATAAACATATTATATTCTTTGCAAGCTCTTGTGGGCCACATAAAATGAAGTCGCGGGCCGGATTTGGCCCCCGGGCCTTGAGTTTGACACCCCTGCTGTAGTGTGTTATAAAGAAATGTTGTTCATGTCTACGTTACATTTGTGTTTCCATTGGCTAGCGCTCCAACACATTTGACTTGACAGGCTTAGAGCAGGGGTTCCCAACCTTTTTTCCCAAGAGCCCCCCCAAATGACTCCTGTTGGAAGTTGCGCCCCCGACACACACACACAAGGGGGGGGGGGGAGGGGGGCGCAACAGCGGTAATTAAAGTTTAAAAGTCTAAAAAATGCTACAACTACTGTCACAAACTGGATGAATGTGAAGTATTTTGCTAAAGGAGGATGAAAGCGTAATGAAGGCGCACTATTGGAGTGACGTTGATGGTTATTGGACTCAGGATTAATTCATTTGGATTCCCGCTGTATGAAGAAATTAAAGGACGGCGCAAGTGGAAACAATTCACAAAGGGATCAAACTGTTTAAAACACATGCTCAAAGTAAGCCGGATTATAGCGATGTGTTTATGTGGATTCAAAAGTCGTAAATAATCTACAAAATGGAGGAGACCGATCTGATGGGAGCAACTGTGACAAATAATCTGAAACCGGCATGGACAATGACTATGTTTTAAAAATGCGCTTATCCAGAAAAGCCTGGTTTGGACACTTTACGGGCAGAAGAAACATTTCTATTAAAAAAAGAATTATACATTTCTGTCTTTTTATGCCTATAATAGCTACTAACTTGAATTTGTATTCAAATGAATTAATCAATTATTTTTTATATTTTATTGTAATGTAGAGACAAGGCTTTTAGTGACAATCATGTATTGCGTTACAATTATATGTACAAAAACAAAACAAAACAAAAAGTCTAAATATGATATTTGGCCTCAAATCATCTGAGGCCTGGCGCCCCCCCCTGCGATCTTTGGCGCCCCCCCAAGGGGGGCACGCCCCCCAGGTTGGGAACCACTGGCTTAGAGGTTGACTAATCACAACAAATATTCTGGACAACAAGCACTTCTGCAAACAGTGTCAAGTATGGAATTCCAGTTCCTTAAAATAAAAACATGGTGCTGCAGGCATAGGGTTGAACATGAGGTTGTGGTTAGTGTTACGTCACTCTGTGGCTCTGATCATCTGCTTTTGGTCACCTGATATAATAGGACTGTAGGGAGAATGTGACCAGATCATGTCTCTGTGACTATGTTTGGCCATAAGGACAATGTGACTGCACTGGGTATCAAAACTCAGGACTTTTTGGAAATGTGTCAACAGTAATCAGCTAATAAAACTCATGACTGCAACTCATTTAATGATTTTGTTGTGTCAACGTTTTAACCAAATACTCATATAAATATATTTTGATTACGCTATAGCAAGAGAACAGAAGAAAAAAATCAGTTAAAATTAAACCTAAACCCACATGGTCATCTAGGTGGTTTAACCACATAAAGCAGAAGTAGAAACAACCATCTTAGCTAATGACTCTGAAAGATTTTGTATTATTTGCTGTATTTAAAATTATTTTATTCACTCATATATACATGATATGTGGGGGGTATAATCAAAACTGTTTTGTATCCAGCCTGAAAACTTTAAATGCCTAACCGTTCCTGTAGTTCGTCTCTCTTATGTGTTCAGAAATATATTTAAAATATCTCAATTAGCCAATTAAAAGAAAGTAATCTACAAATAAAAATTACAAAGGAAGGGACAAATGGGCCTAAAGTAATTGAAAATGTATAATAAATATATAGTTTGGATCCAGGAGGAAAAAAATATGAATGAGACAAAACATAAAAATGACAATTAAAATATAATCAATGAGTCAGATGACCAAAATAATTCCAGCACACACCATGATACTGAAAACAGTTTTATTAACAAATTACATTTAAAAACATGAAAGAGCGAACTACACGTTCAGAAGGGTTGTCTATAAGCTCATTTAATATTTACAAACAAGTCTGTCCAAGTATAGCATTTACAAGTGTATTATACAGTGGAAGTACTATATTGTTTCAACCAGGGATCAAACTTAACCTTTTCCCTACTTACATTTTATCGAAATGAATGATGACCTCCCAAGTATAAAATGACACACACTCCCAAATAAAAAAAGGCACTACATCCGTCACTGTGTTTGACAAAGTGATTGCGCAATCTTTAGTGTTTTCTCTCGCAATTCCAGATTGACCAATTAGGTTCAATCGCAGATGTACAGTATGTTTCTCTAGACTCTGGGTCACCGTCCATCCTGCTATTATTTCCTCTCCCAGGTAAACAATTAAGTTGGAGCCTTGGTTTCGACACTTGTATTTCATACAATCATTAATGATGAAATGCACACCTTTACAACCCCTTCTAATTATTCAGTTAATTTCTTCCAAATAATAACACATGATGTATACTTAAACAGAAAATAAAGATTTAAAAATGGAATGTAACAAATAAAGTCCACATCATTAAGTATTATTTGGTTCCCGGAAACTGAAATTTGATGGTAGACATGGAGCTGCTGCTTTCAGGGGAAGCTGGCGAGCAAGCTGAGAACACATTGAGAGCAGGGGATGTGGGGGACATGGAGTTGGAGCTCACTGTCTGTGGCGCTGACCGGACCCCCCACTGGCATCCTGAATCGTACATGAGCCTCACCACGTCATTACGGAAGCGCACGCCTACCAGAGCGTACAGGATAGGGTTAAGGCAACATCGGGAGTACGCCAGAGTGCAGGTTATGTACTCCAGCAGCAGAGCGCAGAGCGGCCCCGCCATTTTACGCGACAGCACCACAGTGTACGGCAGCTGGAACACCAGAAACACCACCACCAGCGCCACCATCAGCTTCAGGGTGCGCTGCCGACGCCACTGCTTCCCCCGCCGATTTTTGTTCCCTTCCCACAGCACTTGAGCTATCAAAGAGTAGCATGTCACCATAATGAAGAAGGACAGGCAGAAGACAGCAATGATGGCTCCGTTGGTTGACATCTTGACTGCTCCACGCTTTAGCATGCCGCAGTATGCTTTATCCCAAGACACTAACACTCCAGAGTAGAGGATTTCAGGCAAACTCAGGAGCATAGCAACAAACCACACAGCAACAGCGGCAACTTTCCCGCCTGTAACAATGCGACTGCGCAGCCGGTGCATCTGTTGGGCACGTGCCACCACAATGTAGCGGTCAACGCTAATGCAGGCTAGCAGGAGTAGCCCGCTGTATGTGTTGATAGCGTAGCATGCACGCAGAACCTTGCAAAGGCCATTAGGGAAGATCCAGCCCTGGTGTGTATCGACAGCCTGTAATGGGAGCGTGAGGAGCAGGAGAAGGTCGGCCAGCGCCAGGTGGAACAGGAAGACGTCGGTCATGGAGCGAAGACGGAAACGGCGGGAAAAAGCAAAGGTGGCTATGACCAGACAGTTACCCGCCACGCCCAACGGGAAAATCAGGCAGAAGATGCAGGTCTGGAACATTTTGATGGTGAACTCTTGATCTTCAGCCTCACAAAGGCCCGTATCATTCTCGTTGAAGTATGTGGAGTTACTAATATTCCACAATGAGTAGTTTGAAAAGTCATAGTAAGTTTCTTGGTAATCATTGTAGTCATAATGGTCTTCATCATGGCGGATTTCCATTGCTGGTGGGGAAAAAATAAGAAAGGTTTGAAAGAAGAACTCTCTTAAAGAAGAACAGTGATACTATTGAAAAAAACATTTTAAGATCATACGTTTAGAACTGACTTAAGCTTGGAATATTCTTTTGTGAACATTTTAGCTTTGGTGATCCTCTGACTTTTCCTCTTTTTAAAAATATATATTTTTTAAATTAACGAAAAAGTATTTGTTGAATTACCATGAAACTGGTCTGAGACATGTTACCCAATGAATGGTCATATTGTCTTTGTGTCCACACATATAAACCGAATGTAAGGGTTGATGGGGCCAATGTCTAGGAGTTTTAACACTTCTTACCATGTCATTAAGACTTCTGCAGCACGGCTGCTATGATTATCTTTTATTATGAGTCAGTCTGGGCTTCTACAAAATGTCATAGTGAAACCAAATCGTGTGGACTTATCATTGTTTGAAAAAAAAATGGGGCTTCTTATAAACATTCACCTGGTTTGATTTTAAGCAGAAAAATGTACTTCATGTCGCTATATCAGGACATACTGTAGCAACTCCTCCTCAATCGGATTGAAAGTTTAGAGACCTGCCGCTCTGTTTCTCAGTTTCACTTAGCTTCTGTGATATTTGAGTCATTTTGCACTGGGTTGCGTTCCACTGGCACCAGGTCGTTGGCACAGGGGAAGTCGTGGGTAGCGCGAGCCTCTACATATCAGTCAGTGTCGCGTGCCAACAGCCTTTATAGGCAGTTTCCATAATCACCTTTTGTCATTTCATCTTCCACTGTACAACTCGGTTATGTCTGCAAAACTATGTGCATATTACATCTTTCTCTTTCTCTTGTATTCTTTAATCTCTATTTGATGGTGGATATAGGCATGATGGTATTTCCCTTGAAGGTAAGAGGAACAACAATACGCTGATAAGGTAATTTGCCAAGTAAAACATCTTCAGCAAACTGCAGTCTATAAGATTATATTACAATGGTTCTAATCATACTTTAAATCTAGGATGCCAAAAATGTTTATTATAACATTATTTGTAGCTCTATCAAATAACCGCATCTCTCACTGTATTCTAATGTCAATTATTATGCCGATGATATGTTCTGGGCCGTCAATTCAACTCCTATTGAGGCTTAAAGTCTCTTCACTCTTTCCTCAATCATATGTGCGTCCTAAATGCAGAAAGAAAAAACGAATTATTGTATTCCAAACATCTAACTTTATCTTTGGTTATAACGGAAATGTATACTGAATGTAATGAATGTCGAGGTTATGTGGATTATCTGTAAACAGGCTTCCGAAATTCAGCATTAAATCTACCCTAATAGTGTTAGAGTTATAATACACTCCACTGTTATTTCTTTACTTGATTATGGAACATTGTGTAAAAGCTTGAGTGGAGATGGGAGAGTGTGAACGTGTGAAAGTACACAAAGTCTATAATTGTTGTTTTTATAATCCATGCCAAATTTCACAAACGTTTCTCTCTTTCGAATTATTGGAGGACCATCATATTTAAAGGGAAACACATTGCATGATATTTGTGTAAAAAAGCTTTATCATAACAGTTTCAAAAGTGCCTCCTTTTTCTCATTGAAACGTTTCAATTTCAAAACATTTTCGAAAGATTATTGACCATAGAAATTTGTTCTGTGCGTGCAAAAAATGGCAGGACTGCGCTGATGCATTACGCACAGTTTAAATTGAACTAACGTTGTTAAGGCTAATTACCAGATGTCTATAACCCTTGTAATAGTCTAATAACTCAATTACGTTTAAATAAATCACATTCTATTCTATTCCCAAAGCAGTTGACATCTCAAGTAATACATGGTAATACACATTTTGTTTTATTATAATATTCTCTAAGATCCAGTATACATATATTTTTCTTTTATTCGTGATGACTTTTAAAGTTGGAAATCTGAATTTGTTTTTTTATGCTCCAAGGTTTTACATTTTTCAAGAAGTTTGTTTGCAGATATTAATTATTCTAAATGTAACACATTCTACACATTCTACAAATTTGCCATCAGTTGTCATTTTCACACTATCAACTTTATTTTAAATATTATAGCCAGTCCTGCATCCTTTCTCACTGTATCTGTATTAATAAGAGACAATGAAATAACAACTCCTTTGCAGTCACGTTGAAAGTGAACTCATATCTGGCAACCAGTTGCACAGTTTGAGTGGGAAGCAGTTATATATATTTCAGTCATTGTTCACATGGTGTCAGCGAGGCTGTTGGCATGAGGGAAGCCGTGAGGAGCTTTAAGATCTGCACACATGACACATGCCAATAGTCAGTTTCTCTTCTTCTTTCACTGAAGCAGCTGGGTGAATAATAATATTATTTATTTGTTCCTTGTTACCGGCATGAGTCTTGTCACGAGGGAATGACCTTGCAGTAAATCTCTTTAACAGTAGCTGCCTTAGAATATAATTTAAAAAAGATAATCATTTTGACAATTCTTCATTTATTTGTTCATGTATACAGATTCTTATATGAATTTAACAGAATATGAGCGATTTATGTAGGCTCTAATTCGTGATTCACCATAATTGCAACAGTTTTTCTAAAATGATCTGCGGTCCCCAATAACTCATTTTAAATAGTGAAGTTTTAAATCAATCAAATAAAATGTGTATTAATTCAAAATGGGTACATGTAATCTAGTAATGTAGTCATGTTAATTAAATGTATACATTTAAAAATAGTAATTTTTTGGTATTCTTAAAAATATTTAGCCGAAGTGAAACAGTCAATCAGTTATTTGAAAAGTCCCCAGAATTTCTTAGTGACCTTACCTGTAATGTTTGAGTAGTTCAGCATGTCCAGATTCCTCCTCCTGTGTCTTAGGTAGAGATACAGAGCCTGCCACTCTTAAAAACAAGCCAGCAGGTTTAACCCTAACCCTACCCAGCCAATGAAACCAGCTTTGTGTTTTGCTGACCTTGTCATACCCTCTTTGGTTGGTTGTTTGTGTCACAAGAATTCACAGAAGGATGTGATGATGCACGTGTGGCACTGCCATATCTCTGAGACTGACTCTGTAGGATACATATGATCTCTCATTTGGAAAATATCTGATTAAGACAAGTGTTATTGGCATTCTGATTTGAACAATGTTACTTCTAAGTCAACAGATCAATGCAACCATACTGCATGTATCCAACACTGCAACTGCACATAGATATTTGTCATGACAATCTGTATTAAGTAGATTTATCTTACATTTCCACAATCACCGTTTGATTTGCTCTACATTTTATGAAAAAAAATATATATGTTCCTGTACAAGGAGACACATTTCAGTTAAATGCACAAAAGGCACAAAGTTCACAGCATCAAGCTGCAGGTTCAACGGGCGACCACCATGTGAAAACATGAGGGTGTGTCTGCTGACTGGCACCACAACAAATTCACAGCTTTGCATTGACCTCTTTTTAGGGCTGTATGACTGTTTGTTGAATAATCAGGCATCTATCTATCTGATTCAGCTCTGAATAATTGGTCCTCTAACATCTTAGAGGTAGGTCCAAAAAGTTCAAAGCTGAACTTGCATTTAGTTGAGCTCTTTCTATACTAATAGTGGTGCAGTGATGAAAATATAAAAAACTGTTCACAAAGAGACGAGGGAACCCTGGAGTGCTAATAAACTAACTAATCTCCGGGTTATGGACTCATTCCTGCCCCACTCTATAGAAATCAAGACATGTTCTCCAAGGCTGACCTACAAAGAGATTACACTAGGGCAGAAATGTACCATTTATTTCCTTATTGTATATAATGTGAAATTCCAATCACTGCTTCAAAAAGTCCCAATGATATTCAGTATGCAAATACTGATATAAAAACAGAAACACCAAAAATACGTCTACTTTAAGGAGCAGTTACAAAAAAGAAAAATGACTTTAATGACAAAATGATAAAAATGAAAATGTAAATAGTTGCAAAGCTCACCTATTACGTGATAGGTTTCATGGTTGTCACTTTGAAAGCAACTAAGCGGTGTACTGGTAGCCATTCAGTCACAGGGCTAACACATACTGATAACCACAGGATATTTAAGATTTTTAACCAAACCGTAATTGCTTTGGACTGTAAGAGATAATTCAAATCAGAACCAGAACCTTGTAGCTTTGAGGCGACAGTACTAATCAATGCACAGCACAAAGACGCCCTGTATTTAAAGCCACGGACAGATCTACCAAGAGTTCAGCACAATGTTGTTGCTTACTAAAAGCCATACAAATGTGAAATGAATATCCAGATTATGATTAGAATAATAAAACATATCACCAATATGGTAAATGGTTGACTATACACATCTGCCTCAAATGGAACAGATAGCATTATTAGCATGTGTTTGTGCATGTGGTGAAAGTGTTACAAAGTGTGTGATAAACCACGCTGAAAACATATAGTGAGATGGCTACAGAGGTGTTAACGTTGATGATCGTTTAACCACAATGTTTGCCTCAGTTGTTGGTGCCAGACCATGAGAAAAAGGTACAATTGTTCGATAAATGGTTTGTGCCCGTGAGAACTGTTTGACATGGTTACCGCTTGGCCCAGGTGTTGACTGTTCTTGATCAACAGTGTGGTTTTGTATATGTGGTTATTGTATAGTGTGAAACTGGTGACCCAATGTTCAACCTGTAAACACAACAACCAGGTTGAACAGTGATTGGCTCCTCGGCAGGATGGCTGTTTCTTTCTTAAATGGTTCCCATCAAGCTTTAACATTACTCAGAACTACTTTCTTTTTTTGAATGTATTCAAAAAACTTATTTTCATTAGGTTTCAGACAACTATTTGGTCTCATAATGCATACTTTGTTAAGGAATTTCTGAGTTGAATATAATAACATTTTTCACTGTTCAACACAAAAATGTCATCAATGGATTGATATGCCATTCATCAGGACATTATTTGCACAATTAAAAGCTATTAGATTGGCAGTTATGTCAGTAGGTCACTAATAAAATGCTTATTGATCTTAAATCATACATGTTATTCCGTTTTTTTTAAGTTTTCCTTGATGAGAAAAAACGGTTTACTTATTGCCATCAAAAAAATCATAAATGCCAGTCATCAGTGCAAAATCTAAGTAGATTCAATACAATATCACATAGGAGAAAAACTGCAAATACTCCCATATTTGAGGCAGAGAGATTAGATTTTATCTCAATTTTGCTTGAAGGATAACAAAAAAATGTATTGGATAATTAAAATAAGTGACCATAATGTTTCCTTATAACTCATGAGGTCAGTTTTGATTAACCTATACAGAGCAACATGTAAAATACAGAATATGTTTCGGTAACAGTTATTTCATTTTGACCTGCTCATCAATTACAAAACTCACTTTCAGATGGAGGTTTTCCATTTGTACACAGAGTGATCCAGATTTGGTGAAGCTTTTGGATACTTATATATTCAAAAGCAAACTGAAACCTTTCATTTTCTCATGCTTATTGATAACATACTGCAATGTTTGTCTGTAGCTGTTTTCATCGTTTTTCTAATGCTTTTGTTGCCATAGCATTAACTTATATTTTATTCATGATATATTTTCTTTGCATAATATTGCTTTTTGCTTTTTGCATTGATGAATTAGGCTGTACTCTCAGTGACTACTCATTAAATACACATGCACAGTCCAATACTACTGTTTATGCACAGTCTATTTTTATGATGCCTATAATGTTTAGGTTTTTTGGAAATGTCCTAGGGTTAGGGTTAATTAAATAAGCACGGAGGTCAGAGTTACAGGTGGTGTTGCACTGGACTGCAATATATATTTAGAGGTGTTACATATATATACAAATATGAATGGTAGTATTCATGGCAGAGTATTATTGTTATGGTCATACTTTAATTTTCCAAAGCAGCAATCCCAATTTTCAATTGCAAAATGTGCGGTGCATATTATATAAGACCATCATTCAGAACTACTTCTAATTAGCCTGTTAGTTTGTTTCTCTTGTTTATTTACCACTGTAAAACACACAAGTAAATCTATCATTGTTATTTAAATATAAATAAGAATTTGAGGCTCAATTTATATTTAAAAAATGGATAGAAAAAAGTTTATACAATAAAATATGCCTTGGTTATTAATAAAATAAAAAAACATTGCTTAGGTTGTTGGACAGTACAGATTCCAGGTCTGCTTACAAAGAAAGATCATTTTGACTAGTAATTAATTATTCAGCGCAGCAATTTTTTTTAAATGAATATGAAATTGTTCATTTTATTTCTGCAATTTGCTTTACAGCACTGCACTTATTAGGTGGGGTAATTGAAATACAGAAGAGTATCCATTATTAATAGAAAGCAACTTACTTTAAGCCTCCTACTGTCTGTCTGTGTGATTCTAAAACAAGAGCCGCTGAAGGTGTGAAGAGAGAGCAAGGGGGAATGGTGAGAAATAAAACGAGTTTCAGAGCAAGACGCGTGGGTGACCACATTATTTAGAACAAAATGAAAAAATGCAAAGAGAAGCAGCTCACTTTCACCACTGGAGGGCGATTTGGAACCAGCTGTAGTGATTATTGCAGAATAGCACAACTCAAACAAGGACTGTGCAACCATATAAAGCCATTTATCACTGAATATTAATTTACAACTCAAAAAGTGTTTAAGTGGCTTTATTTCAATTGTACACATATAGGCTATATGTTATGCAGCGACACTGAGATGGTCACATTGCTGGCAGTGGATTTGTCTCTGAGTGTTACTAATATCTGTATTCTTCAAAGTCTGAGTAATTTGTAAGATATCATTTGAACTGTGATGATACGTTTTCAGAACATTGCTTTTTTAAACCCTACTTAAAGAAATAAAACACTTGTTCCATTTAACAGAAGGAGAAAGTCTCCAATGTATGCCGTTCAAACGTAATATAAATGTACGTGAATAAAAAAAAAATAAGTAAACTTGGGATTCAAAATCAAGCCAACAATTTGAAAAATACCTCAAAAATATATTACATTTCAAAACATATTTAGGGGGTTTTCTCTTATTAAATGTCATATTTTACATTTCAGTCAGAACGTCCTTCTTATAACATTTTTCAAGTCTTACCATATTTTTATTTTCTCAGTATGACACAGGTATTTGCAGGGGAAGAACGGGTAGTGGTTTTATTTGATGTTGAACAAGTAACAGGAAGTTTGATAAGTGTTAAGATGTGTTCACCCACAGGTGTGTTATGAGTCATTCTGTCTGCTGCAGTCTCTCTAGTCCAGAGAAGAGGCGCATTCACACCGCAGTACTTTTCCCACAAAGGTTCATGAGAACTTAGTTCATGAGAACTCTTTAGTTCTCATGAACTAAGTACAGATCGCGTTCACACCGGAATAAGTTCCTGGGGAAGGATTAGGCAAATGAAGCCGCTGACGTCACTTCTTCTTCGTCTGCTTTGGGTTTACTGGCAGGCCGCAAACAACTTCACGGCGTATACTGCCACCCGAAGTCCCCGGCCGGAAGTCCCCGGAGTTGGGGACTGGCTTCAGTAGAAGCTGCTGGGACTCCCAGCAGCTTCTACTGAAGCCTTCCGAGTAAATCGCCAGAACACCGACACCTCCTCATCTTCACCGCTCCCATGTTTTATTTTGTGTTGCCATAAGTTAGTCTCTCTGTGTTTGTGCGCTGGGCTAATGCTAATGCTAATAATGCTAATGCGAGGATAATAAAATGGCGGCTTCACAAAACTTTTTGGGAGTTTTACGGGGCGTGGTTTGCATTCCGCCCAGCCAATCAGACATAGGAACCTTTTTCTCCCACGAAAGTACCTGGGCTGCGTTTCACTTCGGTTAAATGGATTCCTTGCGTCCCTCATTTGCGTCGTTTCCCTGCGACTAGTCCCTCCCACCAGGGAAGCATGGAGAGATGCAAGGAAACCACGAGAAACA